GAATTTTATTTTTCTCTAAAAAAATGATTAATATTATAATTTTTAAGGGGTGACTTGCAGGTCTAACGCTGACTTGGAATGGAAAGAGGAATTTTCTCAAACATATGTATGTTTTCACTATAGGTAAGCTTAGAAAATTTACCACTGCTGCCACCTTTAGATGTCAGAAAAGCAGAAAAAAATTGCTAAAGTTTTTTCGCGAAAAAAGGAGAAACAAAGCAGAAAGTGTGTTTGTTGACAAATAACTATTTTAAACATTTTAGCTTAGTGTGATAATGCGAATTTTTATCAAAGATTTTCACCTTTATTGTACAAAAACAAGAGAAAGCACTAATTAAACAAGGAAATAGAATTATCGAGTACAGATTATTTTGATGTTTGTGGGTCTATATACGACTTTCAATATCAGCTTCACTTCGATAATGTATTGGAAATACTTGATTACAAGAAATGCACGTGTTGATTGAAATGAATCAAGATTTTGTTCTTTTACAAATTTGTTGATATAGATTATTTTCTTTTGTCAAAAAAATATAAAAGGGTAAATAAATAGAGATTTACATGAATCAAATAAGTACTATGCAATATAGCGGAATGAAAACGAAAAATATACATTGGGAGTTATTCATGGCCAGCACAAAAGTGATTATTATTATAAAAGAATTAGGATAAGATAAAAATATCAGGAACTATTGATGAAAATTTATTTTAAACTTTTGGAAAATAACTGATAAGAATGGAAAGTGTTTGTTAAAACTATAAATAGTGTGATATCTAAAAAAAAGTAGAAGAGATGACAGCACTGAAATTCACATCACTAGGATATCAATTTTATGATGTGTATCTAGGCAGTTGCCTTTTAACTTTGGAGACTACTCAAGCTTCTCATTTCGTTATATGGACTGGTGTGGGCGCTTGTTTCTATTGTTTTCCAAAAATTTCCACTGATTTCAAATTTAATTTAAAACTTATGGCTTGTAAGGAAGGTCATTCAGTAGTATTTTTATATTTAAAATGTTATTTTTAATCCATCCTATTATTGGTATATTATTATGTTCAGTGACATTTCATCAACGGTCATGAAATATCTGATTCGATTTGGAATATAAATGATGAAGGCCTGAATAACTGTTTACAGCTCGAAAATCACTGAAGAGAACGGCTTCCATATCGAAACAACCTAAATAGCAAAAACAGCTTTACTGAACGAAACGACCCTATTGACTATGAGAAATAGAAATAGGAAAAGTTTTATAATTTATATAACTCGAAGTGACTTTCATATGATAATAGAAATATCCTTCAGAACAAGGACCTGAGTGCCACCGGAAAAATAAACATATCCTTCAAAGTATGGATGAAATGGATGATAGATGTAGTTGAACACATACACACACAGTTGGCAGCACTACAGATGAAGCTTGTAGCAACTTATGAAGCTGCGTTCAGCTTATTAAATGATAAATCAGGAGATTTTCTATTTCTATTTCTACTTCTCAACACAAGCGTCACTTCGAATTTATCAACGTTTTGTATGAAGTTCACCATATAATCGAATTAGAGAGCTATTTTCAACAATGTGGACTTCATCAAACTATTTATTTGTATAAAGACATGTGAGATAAAATAACAAGAGAATTTTAACATCCCATTCATATTTCGATAGTGAAATGCACAAATGAGAATCCAAAAAAGGATAAATAGTGATCTAATCGGAAACAAAAAGAAAAAACTTTTACTTTTTAAGTACAATAACTGTAATGCATGTATGTGTATGAGTTTTCTAAAAGTATATCTTAAATCAGATATCACTCCAAAATTTATAGCTGTAAGAAATCTTTACTAATAATTTAGTAGGTATAGGGAAAATTCTACTGAAAGATTCTTACTAAATAAACGTTATAGAGAAAAGAATAGGAAATTTCATAAGGATTCTGTTTGAGTGATTCTATGGAATGAATTTTCAATTGATAGAGAAAAGTCAAAAACGTTGTATGAAATTCAAAATATCTAGAAGTGTCACATGTTGTCATGTGCAAATATGTTCCCCTCATTGTAAAGCATATTTTTTTCATACGCATCACAAAAAAAGATTAATTTTTTCTTTTAATTTTTCTTCTACTAAAAGTAGAGTTCATCTTTCTAGTTGTCGATGCGAATAAGGATCAATATTTTAACAATCTAGTAGTTATCGTGAAAATTCATCACTATAACGTAAGACAAGGCAATAGGAAAGTCTTGAAACACCTGTAATTTGTTTTATCTGAGTATTTCAGTGGAATATTGCCTGAGTTTCCATCGGTGAGATTAGTGAATCAAAAAAAAATGATTGATGACAAAGATATAGCTATGTCGTGAAGGCAAAAGAGAGAAAAAAAATAGTTCTTTCTGTAACTTCAATTCAATCAAAATCAACATTCTGCACAAGTGACTATTATAATCTTGTAGATTTATTTCTCGTAACTTTATTCAAGAATTTCGAAAAAGAAAAGTTTCTTTTGAACAGACTCTTATCTCAAGCTCATTAACATATTCATAGAGAACGATGTCGATTGAACAATTGGTTACCTACTAAAAAACGCAACAGAGCTGTTTCTAGATTCATGTTTTTTGGAATGGCACTCTTAGTAAAGGAGCTGATATAAGTAACAGCCCGTTTCATTAAGTCATGAGATGCCTAATTCGAATTCGAATATAAATGAAGCTTCAACTGCATAAAGTTACTTCGAAAATAAATAAAAATTCAACCAGCACTTCCATTCAAGAACAGGAAAATAGGAAAACTAGGACAACGTTTTGTTCGAATTCGAATTTCGAATTATAATTGTCATATACACTTTCCTATGAGAATAGGAAAATAGGACAACTTTTTTTTCTTGAGGGTGAGGGTGTGGGTGCGCGTCTTGGTTATATACCTTCACACCCCACACCTCGATTAGTATCCAAAAACGCTATAGAAAAATATAGTGTTTAAACGCGTGTTTGAAATATTTTGTCTGCTTGGGTACCTCCTACTTCTGTCGGATGGAGGTATTTTTCGTTGACCGGTAATTTCTCTATGAAAACCTGAAAGTTGAAAAACGAACAACATTTCGTTGGAAAGAGGAGAATCAGAGATTAACTATATATAACAATATTTTTGATCGGATGTAAGATAGTCGCACACCAGTTGAAACTTACAGCGTAAACATTTTCCCGACAGAATTAGGAAAATGGACTGTACTCAACACAACATACGAGTTTGCCTTCCACCTGTTTATAATTGCTTAATCGTCAGTGTAACGATAAATGCGGAGAGCGCCTAAATTCCACGTGGGAGTGTAACGCTCCCGTTCGAGTGTGGTCTGTGCATGGTATTTGGCCTTAAGATGCCATTTCTTCTCATCACATATATTGCCTTTATCTTTCTGTCCTTGATATTTGTCTTTATCTCTCATTCTCCTTCGTTCTCTCAAATGGTTGAGTATTTAAGCGTGTGCTTTATATGTAATCGAGGCGATTTTATGATTTGAAGAGTGAAATAAAGTGTAATACCATCAGCACAAGCTTCTCTTCTATCTAAAATCGTTACAATCAGGCAGTTGCATTCATCGAGAATTTTGCATTCAAGATTTATTGCTTTCGCGCTTTTTAATATCCGATCTAATTATTATCTCTTATTTAGTATTTTTATGTCAGGAGAGACATCTCCTGACATAACATACTCCACTCTGTTCTGTTCAGGGATTGGATATTGCTCTTATTTTTATTTTTTTTTCGTTTGTTTCTTATCTTTTTATTTTTATTTTTTTTTCGTTTGTTTCTTATCTTTTTATTTTTATTTTTTTTTCGTTTGTTTTTTGAGATTCATTCTTTCTTCAGTTGTTGCTTTTTCGCTTTAAGTAAGGGAGGGCTCGGAAGAAGAAAAAAAGAAGATCACAACAAGTATCATTCAGTGCATTGTTTTAGATTTCAACTAAGTGTCATCATCTACGTTTGATATGGACCAAGCCGCCTTCTCTGGTGTTTTAGGACTAGTTGACCGCCTTCCTGCAGCAGATAAGCGAAGATTGGCTGCTTTTGATAGCAATACAGAACGTTACATGTTCCTTTCGGGGCATGCAAATTCTACAGAGCTTGAATGTCTTCGTAAAGTACGTGCTAATTCACATCTCTATGAACAAGCGTTCATGGACCATTATGGCAGTGGTGACAATGTTTGCTGCAAAATGGGTTAATTTCAATGCGAACCGCGCTCGTGTTTTACTTGTAGCATTACAAACTGTATTTCCAATTCTTTTATGACTACACTTTGCTATTTCTCACGCTTCATTTTCCATGTTTTCTCACGGATGTCACGCTTATATGTAGCTACACTCTAAAAAAATAGGTCCTATCCGGAACTTGAAAAGTTTCGCATTTTTTCACAGAACGATTTTAGGTTCATATCAGAGGTCCCTTTATTCGAATTGATACACTAACTAGCGAGAGAGAAGAGAGAGCATTATATAGGAAAGAATAAAGCAGCAAGGAATGCGACTCGCATAAACAAATATCGATAAGAACGCAATGACTCAAGGAATAATAACATATGACTGTAACAGTTCAGTAAAGCTAAAATAGTTTTGTAATTATTCTACACAACCATTTTAGGTATAGCACTTTTGGGATAGTTACGAAGTTTGCCAACGGAACCTTCTGAGGTTGTGAAAAAATCTCCAGAGGTTTCGTACACATTCCGCGAAACTCTGGATAATTCCGTGTATGATTAGTAGGTTCCGTAGACTTTTCACAAAATCATACATGGTTTCGAAGTTAATCTTAAAGTTTCGTAAGTTTCATACGAAACCTGGGTGTGGGTGTGGGAGTAGATAAGCAAGGCACACACCCACACCCTTTTCCTATTTTCCTATTCTAATAGGAAAGTATAGAAGAAAGTTATTCTTTTTCTTTGAATGGATCGGAGCTGATGAAAATGTTGGAAAATTTCGCTTATATTCAAACTCGAATTAGGCAGCTACTCAATTGGTGATTTCTACAAATTGCGAAGCAGCAAATTCATTCCAGTTTTCTGTTTTTAAAAGTCGTTGGATTTTTACTACAAATCTCGATACAGCTTCATTGGATTGATCGAATGATGCTGTTGAAACAAATTGCAATGTTAGTGGAACAGGATTTTTAACAGCATCTAATAGGAAAAAAAATTAATTTTAGCTTCTATTCATATTGCAAAACATTCAGCAACAAACTTTCATCGACTGAAACAGATCCACTTGGTTGTAATTTTAATTTTTGTTTGATAGAAATAAGTTTCGATGAAATTTCATGATCATCATCGTCTTGATTTTTCTGAGTTGATTTTCGAGTGTCATCTGCGCCCATTTCGATTGTTTTACGTTTAACAAATTGAATTTTCTTATCGTGAATTTCTGTTTGACATATATAACGAGTTTTACCCGTAAAAACTTCTTGCATCTAAGAAATAATTGTAACTTCTAAAAGATTTACTCTTTCACTCAAAACTTACAAGAAGTTCAAATAATGAAGTTAGAATGGGACTTGAACTTGAGGGTGTGGGTGTGGGTGTTGATCTTATTTTAATCGCCACCCACACCATCAATATACTCTGTTGATTGTTTTGAACTTATTTCTCGAAGAAAGATATGTGGGACCACATTTTCTCGGTCCCGACCAGGGTTGCCACCTCTTCCGCTTTTTCATATAAAAGACTTTCGTTGTTTAATTGAAAACTTAACCATGCAAGAAACTAGATAACGTGATGTTAGACGAAAATTTCTTGGAAAATAATTTTCTAACGTATAATTCTATACAATTCTTGAAAAATTTTCGCTTCACATGATAGATTTTCCAATAAATTTTTCTAGTGAAACACATTTTGTGTTCATTTTGGCCTCCACTATGAAATACATTCACCTGGATTTGAAATGCCAATGAAGAAAAGAAAATTTCTTTCAAGTTCTTATTCATTTGTTAATATAATAGATGAAAGCATAGCCACATTCGACAGCTGAATGTAAAGAACAACATTATCCTCTTAGACTTGTAAAAAGCGAGCTTTATTTTTTGGATTGTACGTTTTTCGGGCCAATGTTTTAATTTGTGCCAAAAAGGAGTCGCATTCGGCGGCTATATGTGGAAAGGAATATATATTTTTTGTTCTATTACTCTGAAAAATGAGTTTCAGTTTTTTCGATTGCATCTTTTCGCATAAACTTTTAAAGTGCTGTGCCAAAAAAGAGCCGCCTTCGGTGGTATATTCTCTGCGAAAAATAGTGAACTGACAGTCGCAATACGGCCATTTCACTATCACAAAACGAACATTTTTTGGGACGATACAAACATTTTCCCTGTATGGCACTTTTAGAAAAGATGAGTAGAAAAAGAATTGACAGAAAAAATATATTTATTTTTGGACCGGAAATCGTTTATCTTTTCTTCTTGGAGTTTCAGGCCAGGTACGCCCTGATATTTTTTATGAGTTGTCTATTATGTTGTGGAACTGCGAACAAAGTAGTACTATGAGCAATAAAACAAGGTTACTTAAACTCTTGGAAATGTGAAAGGTCAGCAAAAAGCAGCTTTCCGTTTTTTCTATTTTTGTTTCCGCTATTTTCCGTTATTTCCCGCTCTTTTTGATCAAACTTTCCGCTTTTCTGACCTGATGAGGTGGCAACCCTGGTCCCTACACTTGTTTTGAATATCTAATTACGATTACATCGCACAGTATAAAACGATGTACTCAATTTCGAAACATATAACAAAACACATTCAAAATTCTTTATAATAGATAAGCATTGTTATCAGAACTGACTCATATTTATTTATAGAAAATCGAATTTCTACAAAGCAAATGTCATATTGTATCTGTAGCATTAGCTTTAATAAATGGATTATAATACGTTAAATAGCCTTGAAGAAATTTTGATACTGTATTCAATTGTAAAATATCATTAGGAAATGTTCGAATATAGTTTTTAATTTTAATTCGACAGAGCGTTTTTAATGTTAATGTTTGCATTCTTAATTCAATTAATCTTGTTTTTATTCGTACCATATGGACAAGTGAATGTTCTGTATCGACCAGCATTTGTTGATCATATTCATTTGCCAATGATGATAAGAAATTTAGTTTATCCGATCGAAATATTAATTTACCTAATGGAATTTCACCATTTTCAATCATCGATATTAAATAACGTTCAAGACGTTGTTTAGTTGCTAGTTTTCCTATCAGACTTGGATTAGGTTTTTCACATTCCCGTAAAACATCATAGAAAAGAAATATACACCATGCTAATGGACTTATCGATGAATCAAATAGATCTCTTAGACGATATTTAAATAGAAATTCTTTACACGATAATATGTTAGCTAATTTATATTGTTTTCTTCCCACTAAATTCGGTTCACGCATACCATATCGTGTTAACTTACTTTCTTTACGAGATAATAATACATGTAAACGACGCATATGCGCAGTATTTGCTTGTTCATAGGCTGCTAAATAAATTAGATCAAGTGGTGTACCACCGGCTTGATTCGGAATGTTTAAACACGAATCTGGTGTATGTTCAACAATGAAATCAAAAACAGAGTCACTTACTGATGCTTGACATGTATAATGCAAACATGTTTGACCTTGATTGTCTTTTAGATCAAAACGTGCACCATTTTTTATAAGTACATCGAGCATTGATATTGAATAATGTTTATTGATTAAGATTGAAAGCGCAGATTGATTATTATATTTCGTTAAACGTTCATTGATATCAAAACCATATTGACACATTAATTCAAGTTCTTTCATATGAATTGGTTCATAGAAATGAAGATCTAAGAAATAGATTAGATATAAAAAGGGAGTTTTGTTTTTTTCTTACTGAGCGTAGCTCCCATTTCAACAAGTTTCTCAAGTATAGTTTGTGTTTGTGCACATACACTAATATGTATATGTTTGCCAGTAATTAATAAATACTGTGGTTTTAAATTACGTTTTAAGCGATTGAATAACTGTCGACAGTCACCTGATTGTAAACTTCGTAACAATAGTCGATCTAAACCTGGATAAAGTTCATCGACATTTTTCGCATTAATTGTTCGGCCATCAATGCGAAATTTTAACAATTGTTCTATCAGTTGATCTGGTAACGATGAATTATTCGATATTGGTTTAGTAGATCGACTATGCCGTGACGATTGAGATGGTTTGGTAAAAACACTTGATATAGATGTATTTTCCGATGTCATTGTTGGTAAATCGAAAAATAACAATTATGTACAGGCAAATGGTTGATCTTAGTCTACAGAAAATGTTTTCTCCCTGTTTTGTAAATACGCAGTTTCACTAACAAGTCATAGAAAGAAAAAAGAATGTTTTGTATTCAAGCATACATCGTTGTGAAAGAAAAAGAAACTGTCGCATTTTTTCCCACTAATGTCTCTATATTTGTATTTTCAAGTGTTAAACGTTTGACTTGTAAACGTCAACTTTATTATAGAAGCCATTGCCGGGTACTTACAAATTTATGACCGTAAGAGTAACACAATTATCTTGATGTAGTCTATTTTTCTTCTAGCAATGAATAAGAAACGTGCAGCAAAAGAACGTTCTTATTGGAGTTTCAAATGAATGCTTTTTGTCACTAAAAATGTGTAAGACCTCAGGGCATTTTTACATACAACGAAGGAGTCATGACGTATTTTTTAATCAATTCTTTTTTGATTTCTTAAAAAGAGAATATTTTTATTATGATACTTTACTGACCAATGGATAGACTTTATAAAATCTAAATCCTTTTACACTTTGTCATCCAGCAGCGTAGATATTTGAAAAACCAGAAAAATGCATATTTTCGTGAATAGGAATTATTTGACTGAAGTTAACATTGCTCTTGAAGAAAGTCATCTATTGATTCGGCATAAATCCCATGAGATTTTAAAGTTTCTCAATTTCCGATTAGACGCCTTCCTCTTCGTGAAAGATTTCGATGGTAGCAATTTCTCATCCCACTCTCATCATATTTATCGTTGAATATTCTTATAAACATTTATTTAAAGATTTTTTAATAATTGAAGTTTGTTCGTATAATTTAATAAATAACGATTAAGAAATATGTACGCGCATGTGTTATAATATAACATCGAACGATGAAGGAATGAATGACGGGGAGAAGAAACAGGTATGATACTGACTCATGCCACTTAACACCGAACAAAGAGAGAAATCGATATAAGAAAAGAAAAAAACATTAAACAAATGCGAATACAACATACACCAAATTGCAGAGACTCCATTCCGATAAGTTAGTTTTTAATGTCATGAAAAGTTAAAGGAACAAATATACGTTTACATTCAAAAAAAATCATGCATGAGTTTTTTTTTTATCGATGGATGTACGCTTTCGTGCGCAAGGATATGAACAAACAACAATTAAATAAATGCTCAAGACATCATGCACGACAGATAGAATAATTATAGTTGTAGTGCACAGTTAGTGAAGAAGGACACAGAAGAAAAAAATATAGATGAGACAAAAAAATGAACTATGCGTATGGGTATGCTTGAATTCTTTCGATTAGTTGCAACCTGGTTGATTTTTTGTTGTCATAATTAACGCAACGATTAATCCGTAAAGACCAAGTACTTCAGCGAAAATTAAAATTAAAATCATTCCAACGTATAATCTAAACAAAAATAAAAGAATAAATATTTATCTCAGCTGATGTTTCTTATCTTGATATTTACATTTTATGTTTTTAAAAAACATGAAACATAAAAAGACTAGTATACTAACCGTGGTTGTTGAGCTGTTCCTCGTACACCTGCATCACCAACAATGCCAACGGCGAATCCAGCTGCTAATCCACTTAATCCAACTGATAAACCAGCTCCTAATTGAAGAAAAGCTCTAGAAAAAGAAAAGAAATTTAATTATTAAATAAGAATTGTTCTTCTCTCTCTCACTTATAAAGACCGTAGTTATCTGCAGCAATGTTGTTAGCGATGAGTACAGCTACGACAAGACCATAAATAGCAATAATACCAGCCATGACTACGGGAATGACACTTTTCATGATAAATTCAGGTCTCATGACAGCCATAGCTGAAATACCACAACCAGATTTAGCCGTACCATAAGCGGCACCCATTGCTTAAAGTAAAAGTACGATGAATTTTATTTTCAACAATTCAAATATCAACATACCACTAAATACAACAGCTGCAGTTGCGCCCATCGCGCCAAAAAAGGCTGAATATGCGGGACACTTTTCAGTTACAGGCGATGACATGATGATGATGAATGTATAAAGATACCTAGAGATTTAAGTTAGCAATTGAGAGAGTTAATAATCTAAAATGAAGATACAGCATTGTTGTCCGTTACGTAATAAATAAAACAAGACAAATTGCTCACGGTAATATTTTCTATTTGAATCATATGATAGTGGTACACTCACGGGAGAGACCACCTTTAAATGTGTTTGAATGCAAAGAATACATGTCGTTCTTCTTCTTTAGTTACTGATGACGAAAGATAAATAGCATATTCACTAATGAAACAGCATTTTATTCCTTATCAATTTTATGCCTCTTTGTCGGATCTTTCTTTTTAATAATAAAAAACCCTTGCTCCGTGTTTATTTTGACATCGAAATTAGAAAACAAAAGGGCCAAGACATAATCATAAAGTAGTTTAACGAATAACAAACAGTAAATAGGAAATGAAGGAGTCTATCGGTTTCTCTTCTATGTCATCCATTGTTCAATGATTTAATGACTCTCACCAATTATGCCGGAAATTCTCAGTCTTAACTGTTATAGAAAAATAATAATTTACAAAACATAAAAACAGTGAAGAAAGATTCAAACTTACAATCTTACCTAAATCAGAACGTAATCTTTTAACAGATCAAAAGGGAGGACGGAAGAAAGCATTTGATTGGTCGAAACAATAGACCTTTCCCTGCAAAGCGTAAATTGGAAGAATTTTTCTTTGTAACTGTTTGTGGAAAATAAAAAAATATTTTGAGATTTTTAAGTATTCAAGAATGATGTTTTCTAAATCAAAGAGTTGATTCATTTCTGAAGTTTGCCCAAATTTATTTTCTATTAGATACAAAGAAATATCACCTCGGGTGCGATTGTAAAATCAAAGATAATGCCATTTTTCATTAAGATTAAATACTGGTTTTACATAGATCAAGTGAAGTCATGTCACTCGGTTATAAACATATTGGAAGCCATGATTTGCTTTCGTTCAAATAATATGAAAATTATGACTCTCATTTTATTTGATTCTCCAGTCAAGGTCTTCACTGTGTTCATCACTTTATTTGCTCAAGGTTTTTTTATCGGCATAAAACGTCACCTTATTGTCAATATGCAGTTATAGTTGAGCAAACTGCACTCAACCTTATCACTGTTTGATTGTCAGGTTTCTATCAAAAGATCCGTGTTATATCATCATTTCTATCTATGAGTTTAGTATGAAATAGAAAGCAAAAGAGTGTCTTCTCGCGATGCTTTTTTTTCTTTTGATTTGAGTACGTAATAATGAAATGAAAATAGCAAATGTTTTGATGAAAGTATTAGGTTACCATGGAAACCATTACTTGTCTGAGATGAAAAAGAAAATGAAGATTTGGTTTCATTTTCTGTACGATGTCGAAAGCAACGTTTGGACCCTATAGTGAAAAACTCCGTCAAGCAACGCAACGTCGTATTTATGGAATAAAGTATACTATTTTATTCGATTGTTGAATTTGAAAAGCGAAAACCAAATCTTTCTTTACAGATCGTCTTTAGTGAATAATACGAATTTAAAAATCGGCGATCATGCGCCAAATTTTAGCCTTTACAATACAGCTAACGAACAAGTATCATTGTATGATTTTACTAAGAAATCCAATGTAGTTCTGTTATTTTTTCCATTGGCTTTTTCTGATGTATGCGCAGAGGAATTATGCTTCATTCGTGATAATATGGATAAATATAATCAATTGAATGCTCTTGCTATTGGTATATCCGTTGATTCAATGTTTGCTTTAAATAAATTTAAAGAAGAAAAACAATTACAATTTGATTTATTATCGGATTTTAATAAAGATGTTGCTCGAAAGTTTGGTGTACTCTATGACGAATTTCCATTGTTCAACATGAAAGGTGTTACTAAACGTGCAGCATTTGTTATTGATCAAAAGGAAACTATTCGATACATGGAGATATTGGATGATCCTGGGAAAATGCCTGATTTCGAAGCGATTGAACAAATACTTAATGCATGTAGTGCAGAGTAGATTTAATTCGTCGAAAAGAACATTTCTCTTATATAAATTGAAAATATAACAGAGAACTTCATAAATCTCTTTTAAAATGGTTCGATATAGAGATTTCGACGGCTAGAGAAAGCTTTGTAATTATCAATGTTCTGTTTGAATACTGGTTAGTTTTTGTTTTCGATAGATCAGCTTTCGATGCTCTAGAATTGTTTATGTAAAAATACAATTCTATTCAACATTACACAAAGTGAGGCGTTCTCGTTGGTCGTGGTACATGAATTGCTAAATTTACGTTGTCTTTTTTTTATTTTCTAGAAACGACTTCGCAATCTGTCACTTCTAAAGATAAGAAACATGAGTTATTGACAGTTGCGTTTTATAAATAGTTCGTCAAATCAGATTCAACGCCGATACCATTCTATTGGATTGATCTAATGAGGTTTCAGTCTTCGTTATTGGCCCGTTTCTTTTCAAGTAGCTCTAGGAGTACCTGTATGTGTTACCAATAAATTGTTCCTTGCATTTACTGTTGGTTCTAATGTACATAGTTTCAAACCGATTGGATTCATCGAGGCAAAAACAAAATAAGCGTTGTATACTCAAGCAAATTTAATTAGATTCAATAATTCACTAATTCCTTCAAATTAATATCAAAGAAAAGTTAAAACAACTATTTCTTCTTTGGTGGACGCACTTTTCTATCTGATTTTCTCGATCTAACTCAGGCCGAATCATATCAATAGGAGTATAAAATATGCACGATTACGATGAATTTGTCGATTTTATCGAGCACATAAGTCACTGAACCATTCTTGTATTTTAAATATTCAGAATCGAATGAATGTGTTAATTCAAGTTAAACCACTGCTCGCTTCTAATCTAAATGCATCCGGGGTAAATGACAGTTTTTACTAGAGGTAAATATAGATATACTACTTAAAGCAAGGAAAAACAAAAGCAGTTCGTTTTGCTGGTTGCATAAAAGTCTCATGAATAAACGAGAACTCATTTGATTTGAATCGCTCATCTATGATATCACCAACAAACTAATAATCATGCTTTGAAGAGTTGCGCTTTTTCAGAACAATCTGTTGTATTTCCATTGAAAAATAACTCATTTGGCGTTTTCATAATGTCATGAGTTATTAATAGAACTATGATTTTGTTTTGCCGAGTCAAATGTAGTCGTTCGTATTTTCAACTGCGTAGAAAGGAAGAACAAACTGCTACATTTATATCATATTTTTATATTTCATTGTATGAAAAACATTTTTCGATGCTGTTTTCAATTAACGTTTATTATTCAAAAATACAAACAATTTAGTCTGACAAACAAATATTCGGTAGAATTTCTCTATGTATTTGCAAGTAAAATATATTAATTCGGGTTTAACCAACAAGCCCAGTTCGCCATAAACCAGTATTAACCCGAGTATTTTTTGTTCCGGTGAAAACTTTTTCTACTGCTCGCTTTCGTCCGATTAATGATTCCATGGGTCGCCGATTCAATGAAGCCCATTTAAAGTAAGCGTCGTCATCTGAATCCCAAGAATTACGTGCCTGTAGTTTGGTTTCTTGTATATTTTCCATCGAATCTGAGTCATCATTTGATGATAATGGTGGTGTTATTGTTGAAGTTAAATCTTGAAAAAACTGTAGGTTTAACAATGTTTGTTCTTCATCTTGACTCTCCGATTGGCGAATTATATTGTACAGGCGACTTTTATAATTAGAATTCGAAAAAACTAAAAGAGAAAAAGAAAAATTGAATAAATAAAATTTACATTGAATCTTAATTTTGTTGTTTGTTACTCACCACTATTAATGAAAGATAAAAGGATACATAGGAAATAAAATATAATCATTGACTTCATCAGGATTGGTTAGTATTGAGATATGGAAAAAAATTATTTTGTATTAAACTCCTAAATATGAGAAAATGTTAGATTATTTATAAGAAATACTCGTTTGACATATGGTAGAAATGACGTACATTCATATGAATTATCTTTCAAAAAAAAAATACGTCAATCGCTGTGAATAATATGTGGTAATATACGCATGTCCTTGTAGATACATGAACAGAAGGTAAGAGGAAAATCGACTCTTAAGTGTTTAGTTCCTGTTAATTAATGTAAGAAGAATAGATTAAAAACAGGTTATCTTAAAGCCCTAAAATAGATATAGTTCTATCGTGTACGTTTAATGTACTGATAAGTGAAAATTCTCTATCGATGGATGTAAAAGCTCATTTAACTATCGATAATAAAGAACTCTAACCAAATATATTTTTTGTTCTCGCCATATTTTTCTTATATTTTACGTCATTGCGCATACGTAAAACGGACATATGTTCTAACGATTTCTCTTCCTCCTAATCATATATATTATATGTTCACAATCTTGTACTATCTAAACAACCAAATATGTTTGTGCGAAGTCAACTAACCGCCCTAAAACGTCATTGTCTCGTATGTGTACATGGATACTGACAACAAAATCCTTCTATTTTTCATAGTGGGCGTAGCCATAGTATGTTCAACAACAATGCTTTTCAGTTAGAAAGATTGCCGTTAATCTTGCTTTCTGATCCTATGTAGGGTTGTAGGTAACTCCTAGAGGATGTGATGGCTTTTCTTCGAATCTTAGAATAGTATACTCCAATTCATTAAATTAGAACTAGGGTTCATGCTATCATAATGGTGAATTAAGGACACTAGTTAAAGCATCCTCTGACTTTTCTGCATTGAAATGCTTCAGAATTTGGTTCGTGCGCTTCTGTCAGAATTTCACTACTGCATTTTAGAACGATCTTCGTACAATCAGTACTGTTTCTTTGTTATAGAAAAACAAACGATTTGAATCATTGCCAGTGGATATTGACCTCCTGCCTCCCTGTCCTTGTGTGCTATGATTGGCCAGCGCAATGTTTTCAAAAAATAAAAACAACTTTCTAAATTGTACAAAAAAAGAAACAAATTGACTTCTATTTATTAATAGTGTGATTAATATAGATGTTCTAGGACATTCTAAAGTTCTAAAATCATGATTATGCAGAAAAGGAACAAAATGGATTTTTAGCGATAAGAAAGAAAACAAATCCAGATAGATTGTGATTCTTTCTTATTTTTATTACTTGAGTGGCATAAAGTGCTTCGGCAGCATCCTAAAATTAATGATTTTAGCATTGCATTGCCGTTGACGTGATTCAACAGTTCCGCTGTATACTTAACTTTCTTTTATCTACTGACTAAACCATCTAGTAGAATTCGGCTTGTTTAAACATAATGCTGTGACATTTTGGCAAATTATTTTGCAATTATCTCGAAAGACATAAGAGCTAACAAGGTCGTTCAAACATCATTCTGCGCAGCTCATCATAATCTATTTATGTTGCAAAAATGACTTAGTTTTACTGATCTCTCGCGTTTCTAGAAAGGTTTTATCGTCGCCTAACACTGTGACAGAAAAGGACCCTTTTTCTCTAGGGCTGCTCATAAAACTCTAGTTTTTTGTCAATTTATTTCTTCAAATTAAATGCCTATGGTACCAGTTTTGTTGAGAATTGAATGGGCTTTCAAGCAGTAAAAAGTACTCTTTCTAAACTATTTTCGCTCAGATAAAAGATGCAAAAAACAAACGTAACGTCGTGGCGCGTTTTTTTGTCGACCAAATTTGCAGCACTTCGCATGCGGAAAAATATTTAATGTTTATATATATTGATCACTGCCGCACATATATCCTTCTGTAAAATAAATCAAGTTGCTACATTGAAATAGAAGCTCAATAATTGTACGATAAGTTAGAAACTGTATAGGAACTTATGAGTTGTTCAGAGGAATGAGAGTAAAACCTAAACAGGCCATTTTGTAGAGAATCAAAATCTGCATCGAACGGTATATTAGTCTGCATTTTTGTTTTAAATTTCTTGGTTAGAAAATTGAAAATACGATTTTTTTAAGAAAGAAAGTCCAAATTCATAATCAGCGTAAAAACTGTACCAGAAAACACGCTTAGATGTGTCCATATCGAAAATTTTTTTTTTTAACTTGACCAGCGAAGTAGCGCGTTACGTGGACAAGTCGAATTAACTTCTGTATAAGAGAATATTTGATAATCAAAGAATACATAAATAATAGCGAACTTAGTTACAAAGCAAGTCGCTGTAATAAAAATGTCTGTACTCTATTTATTTTAATACAATATTATTCGTTTATTACTGTTTAAGAATAGAAATTAATTGCACTATTCTAATCGATTTAACAAAATGTGTAATGTAATTAATCTTTAGTAGATAATGGTTGCCAGCTTCTGTAACGGTAGCATTCACTCGTTGCTAACGTCTGCCATGGCAAAAATATACAATACAGTCGTAACTATAGCCTATAGTAGTAAAATAACAGATTTTGAAGACTAATTATTATGATATCTGATTAGCGAAACTAGAATTTAATTACTGATATGAGTAGTGATCAAACAGTGGCAAACGATCCGTACTAAAATTTGATCTCATAAGCGCACCTGTGTACTACTTTTTCATGTTTTATGTCTGTAATGGGAAGGGGAGGGGCACAGGAAACTAATACTATGCTCTATTATATACTCATTCTGATTTGTGCTAGTCTTGGAAAATAGTTTTATAAAACTATATCTATGATGCTGTAAAATTTACTAGCTTTATTGAATAACGAAGTGACACTTGTTGCGAATCATAAATGTAAAAAAGTTGTTATTGTCGCTTCAGATCCTTACATGAAGAAGCGACAAGATCTGAAAATTAAAAAAATCGATCATTTCGCAGAACTTCCAGCTGGAAATTTCTTTGTGCTTCGGCTACAATTTCATTTTCAAATTGTCAATCTATTTTTTCAATAACTTGTGTTATTCTTGTCACACAGAGAAAGTTTACATCAATGGTATGCCACGTTTTTTTTGTAATAAATTTTTATTTTAACTTGTTGGAATAACAAATCTAATTTTAATTATCAATCAGAAATATGACGTGACTTTTTAAAATGAATGCTTCTGACTGACTCTGTTGCTATTTCTTTTTTTGTTTATCACAGAAGAGCTAAGGGAAAGTGGCCTCCTCTTCTGCTCACTGGAAACTTTTATCAAGCGATTACAATGGCAACTGACACTCTAATAGGGTGTGGGTGTGCGTGTGTGTCTTGCTTATATACCCCCACCCCCAACCCCACATCCAAAACTACTAGATGAGAGAAACTTTTGCATAGAATTAAAGAAACATCTATCATAATATTGTTTTGGCACCAGCTTGCTCCATATTTTATAATCAAAAAGTGTATACACCAATATTGCGTTTACAGCATTATAAATCAAATTTCAAGACCAGCAAGATTCAATCATTTATTATCTATAAAAGGGAAACTTTGAAATCAAACAATAGAATTCATAATTCATTAAGAAGTTCGGTTTTAGGACAAATTTTTATTTGCTGAGGATCCTTACACATAAATTTGTATTTGTTGAAAGTTGAGGGTACGACAAGTATGTACTTTTTCTTGAGACATAATGTCTACATTTATAAGACTTTGGTTTTTAGTCGAGTCTGTTTGCTACTGATAGAGCTACACAAATATCATCAGTTAAAAACGTCAAGCTGTCACATATGGATCAAAATAGGAATTGCTTTGAATATATAAAATCGATTTTCGAAAGCAATCTAATACGAAAATAATTATTTCATTCTTTTGTTTGATCGATCTCATATCCAATTCTATTTTCTGGCAACTAATCATAAAACAGAATAATTTTCTTCTCTACTCATTCTCTATTGTTAACAATAAATTTTGTTGAGCATCTCCAGAACTAAATTTCTCTTCTATTTCTGATCAGTATAAAATTCATTTCCTTCATGAATTCATGCACTGTAATGACGACTGTCAAAACTAATTGTTAATTTTTTTCTAACTGAATTATTCAAGTTGCAAAAATAAAATACACAACAAAATAATTTCATTATAATTCCAATTTTTGTAAATGGTAAAGTTCCTCTTTTACTGTTTTTTATGTTGGCTCCAATTTGTATCCTATGTAAAAGCACCTCGTTTTATGGGTCGATTGATGTCATGGCAAACTGTCTCACCAAACTTAGCTAATAGCAGTACAGTTACTATTCAATTAACACAAACATACGCATGGGTAAATAGTCTGGCTCCATGTCAAATAGCGACTGGTCGTCCTACTGACACACTTTTTTTGTCCGTTTGGCTGTAATTTCAGTGTAACGAGTATTAGCGTTGTTGGTACTTGGGTTTATTATGATTTTGGATCAGATATCACTATCTCTCAAAGTATAAAGTCCATTACATATCAATTAGGTGCGCAACTAGTACTGGCTTATCGAAGTACAAATCTGATACCACTAGTTTCTGGCCTAAAAGCATGGAGTATAATAGCTTATATAAATTTAGCAGTACGCAATGATAGTGGACAAATATGTCTTCAGTAATCGTTGTACCTCTCAATACACAACAACGACTTCGTATTCCAATGCTACAGTTGTAGTTGCTTCAACTATAACGTATGAATGTGGTGGTGCCTGTCAAGATTTGCCCGGAGCTCAACTCTATTCAACATCCAATATCAATAATAATTGTACGCTCGCATTCAGTACAACTGCTGTTGGTTATTATGGTATTGCGATATAAATTGAGGATTTTATGCCTTCAACACCGAATGGTACAGCGTTAAGTTCTATTCCATTACTATTTCTCATACGTGGTCTAAATCTGTCATGCAACATACCAACTATCTCTGCAGAATCAATCAACGATGCTACATATTCTGTAGATATTGTCGCACAATCGGATTGCAAACGATACCACGATTGCTTGGTTTCTAGCCATTGTTTCATCGATGGTGGAATATAGTGCATGCCTTTTCTCAATAGCATTTACATGGATACCTTCTATTGATCAAATTGGTACAAAGCATTTGTACTGTACGATCGCAGTGGATAGCAAGAATGTACAATCAACTTAATATTGCTTAAACTTTATTGTTTTGATCAGTTGGTTTATTTCATAATTGCTAAAAAAACTCTTTTTAATTTTATCGTTGACTTCGTGCTACAGTAGTTAGTCAAGATTCAGCAGATTATTTTCCAATACTTGCGCTTATTTTGGGCATCGGTATTCCATTATGTCTTATGCTAAATATATTGAGTTGTTCGTGTTTACCGCAATGGCTTGATCAAACATTTTTGTATGTTAATTATATTATTTTTGTTTTGAAAGAAATATAAAATTTATTTTCAGAGGTAAACTACGACGAAAATGTTTTTACGTGATGATGACGAAGAAGAAAATCAATCTCCTCTACGTACAAGTGAACCTGATAATCAAATAGTAAATAAAAGCTCAAAACTTTATCGTGAACAATATGCACAACTAGATGAACCATCGAGAACAAGTGTTCATTCAAGTTCACTATTCGAATTAAAATCTCTGGCAACGACAGCAACCAGATATTTATCTCCCAGTTTGGCTAGCACAACACCGATTGAATTCGAGCCTATTTTAGACAGAATATCAACGAATGATTGTATACATAATTGAATTAAATGAAGGAGTTGATGCTGATAACCGATCCTTTCATTTTCTTTTCTCCGGTGGTTATTTAACTCTTAGAAAGGAATTGTAACAACTTCTTCAGGCGTTTTTTTTTCCGGTTCACGCGTAAAATTTTCGTCCCAAAAGAGAGAAACAAAAATGTGTGATACTGTCGAGTTTCAATAAAAATAAAATACTTATTTCAGTGCTCTTTAGTATTGATATTACTTCCAAAACTGGCCTCGTTGTTTCTTTCTTTTTAGAAATGCAAACGGCATTCTTGAAATAAACCTTTCCGTATGAGAGTCATTGATTCATATTAGCTCCATGATTCTAATATGAATGATATTAACAACAGGGATGCAAACGCCAGAGAATCGTAACAGGCAGATCTTAACGGAAAATTACACTACTAATAACGCTCAAGTCTCAGTATATAATGAGACCATTCAGTAGAAATACACTTTCAAGAATGATGAATTTATTCAGCCACAGAACAAATCTTTTTTTTGTTGACAACATGCTTTCGTAAAATTTTCTTAATAGACAACTTTTTTTTCTTGAACTAGGCAAGAATATGTATTAGAATTCCAGCTTTATTTATAGTCGATTAGTTTCCTAGTGGAGTTTTTTTCGCTAACACTTGACTATCTACAATCAGTGTATTGCAATAGCCGGATACTAGGTAGGTGTCAAGGAAGCTACTCGTCATTTTAAATTGAACGATATGATCACATTTTGTTTATCCGCAGCACATTGAATATTCGTAATAGTTACATCTATGCATCTGAGAGTACTCGAGACTAGATGGCTGTTTATCGAAAGTATTTTCAGTTCTATTGTTATTTGTCTAAAATCAGTAAGTTAAACTACGAGAGTACCGGTGAATTTTGTGAATAATACTGAAAAGTGCTGTAAACTAAAAGTCCATTCATCTAGACAAAACTGATGTTAAAAAATACCTTCACTAAATAGATTACAAAAATATTTATTGAATCATGTCGAGATCGTAAATGGCGATGTTCAAGTACAAATAGTAATTTACTTATGGATATTGAGGCGGAATAATTTTCTAACAATCATGAGTACTAATTAACTATTAATACCAATCTGTAAAAAAATGTTTTCATTAGAAGCCAATGCGCGACTAGGAAATGCTTTTAAATAATATACGCTGATCATACTAAAATATATTCTCTATAACATTGCCCAGGTTTTTAAAAGCCACTCTATTGAGTACTATCTTTAATAATTATGATTGATGAAACTAACAGATTTACTGAGTGTCTTTGAATAGCTCAATTTTGGGTGATTTTACTGATGACTAGGCTTACTTGATATTTTCAATGACGTTTTTTGTGGAGATTAGGAAAGGTTCTGAGCCAATTTCTTTCATAGGGAAGAACTGTTAAAATCAAAACTTTCAGTGGTTTTAATTGTGAGCGTCTGGATCAGCGTTATTGGTATATCATTAACAGGGTATCTGCTTGCTTGCGAATCGTAGTAGTGCAAAGTGTTCATCGGACTCATCAGCCATATTGACCAGTAGGTCAGAATATCAACAGTGATTAAAGTTCTGAGATGATCAAAGTCTTTTTCAAGCATTGTTAGTTGGATAATTTGGATGTAACGCAGAAAATAGTACATTACTTTGCCAATCTTTCAAAATATGAGACGAATCGATTGTGTAGAAACTATGATTCTGTATACGAGATGTTTTTATTAGTAATATCAAGATTGAGCTTTCAAAATCTCAAACTGTTGAGGGTTCAGTCTGCTACAGTCAGCAATGTATTGAAACAGCCTATAGTGAAAACTCTGTTAATAGGAGAACCATACCGTTGTTATACTTTATTAGAGCACGAATTTTGGTGTGGGTTGAAAGACATGATAGCCAGTGACAATTTTCCTTTTACTTTTTATTAGGAGCAACAGCTTCAACTACAAACATGACCATTGCATCGGTATCGACTTGAGAGTGTGGGGTGTGGGTGGGTTATCAACTCAGATGGGGTTAATTAATCAAGTCACTATTAAAGTAGTTAGTTAGGATAAAATTCTATATCTAGAATGGATCAAATTTGATTCGATTTTTTTCGGGCAAGACTTTTATTCGACGAAGTTGGAGTCGGCGAAGCTGTACTAATTCTCAATAATGATGGTCAATTAGATATCGCTACCTCGTAATATGTTGGCACGGTTGACATTTTAATAAATGCGTGTTAATATAATTCGAATTGACTTCAGCTCATCAATCATTTTGCCTTATTGCTTTTGTTGCCGTATATATATCAGTGCTTTTTTTACTTCGCTAATATATGAAAATCAAATGATCTTTTTGTATAACTAGCTTTATGTACTATATTATCTTATAAAATATTTTTTAATCAATTATTAAAAGAAATTCTGATTTATGCTTTTATCGAATTGAATTAGAACATAGAAAATAAATTGATAGTAAAATAAAACTAAGTGTGAAATATGTTCAATAGAAGAAAAAGAAGTTGCGCAAGAGAAAATTTTCAAGGTCTACAATTCATTTTAAGGTGGCATGCGAAGTGCTCCATCGAGTCGAATAACTTCACCATTAAGATACGGATTTTCAATAATCATTTGTGCTAAACTTGCAAAATCATCAGATTGTCCAAGTCTTCTTGGAAAAGGCACCATATTACCCAGTAAAACTCGAACTTTCTCTGGCAAAGCAGCAAGCATTGGTGTATGAAAAAGGCCAGGAGCTATAGTACAAACTCTTATGCCCATGCTGGATAGATCTCTCGCTAATGGTAACGTCATCGAAACAACAGCACCTTTCGATGCTGCATATGCTACTTGTCCTATTTGGCCATCATAAGCTGCAATCGATGATGTATTTATAATAACACCTCGTTGCCCTTGAGCATTCGGTTGATTATCAGACATCATATGGCATCCCCAACGTATAACATTAAATGTTCCTGATACATTTATATCGAGTATACGTTTAAATTCATCGAGATTATGCATAGTATGCTGAACAAAAAGAAACAAAATCAATTAGTTTTCCGATGGCTTTTGTTTTATTCTCCTCACTTTATTTATATTATATGTGCGACGAGCTATGCCAATGCCAGCACAATTGACTACAACATCAAGTCTTTTATGTTGTTGTTTGATTTCATTAAACATTGCATGTATTTGCTCGTCACTGGTTACATCAGCAGGAAAAAATGTAGGCGTTTCTAATTTAATATTTTGATCCGTTGTTGAATTATTTGATAATGGAATTTTCACAGTACTTTTATCATCATTTAAGCGTGACTGTAAAAATAGTTAAGATAATAAAATTAATTTCTAGTCAGAAACTATACCGTCAATTGACTTTCAGGCTCATTCAATTCTGTATTGGCAAAAGACGAAACTATTGATGGCCATTTATCAACGATGTCACTGCCTTTAGATGATGGTAAATCGCAAATGATGACACGAGCACCATGTCGAGCAAAACGTTTAGCACAAGCAAGACCTAAACCAGCCGCGCCACCAGTTATGAGTACGGTTAAACCGTTCATTATTTCGGCTGGTTTATTTAATCTTTATATCTGAAATATCAAAGATCAATATTTGTTTTTGTTTTCGAAATTTATCTTAAATGATGTTTCTATGGATTTTTATTTTCATTTTTTTTTCTGTTGAAACAATGAACGAATGTCATCGCGTTGGAATAAGAAATTTTAAAACTATACGTTATCCAGGGCAAATCAAACTTGCTTTTGACTTATGCACTGATGACAGATCAGCACTAAGACGTGTATCATCGAAAGGAAATGGTTATAATGAAAAAAAGCAAGTTTTTAATAAAGATAAATTTAAATTCGATTACTTTCCAATAAAAAAATCAACTGCCAATCGTTTTCAATATTCTAAGATATTATCAAATTTTATTATGACTATTGCCCATGTGATTTTTCGTACATCATGTTTCATCTTGAAATATACTATTTATTTAACATGGTATCTATTCAAAATATTTCTCAGCATAATCTTTCGTCTACTCATCGAATCAAAACTGTATAGTCCGAAAACCGTCATATGTCATCCGATTCGATGTTATCATCATCAGTTCTAACTAATGTCTGTAGTAGTCATCATTATCTATGCAACTTTGTATCTATCTATATAAATAGATGGAATAAGATCATACAGATATTAGTATTAAAATGTTATCATAATTGTTTTGCTTACAAATATAAAAAGAGAGATCATTTTTTAAACAATGTGTAGAAACTTTCTAATAGATGTCGCCAATGACAAGAGTACGATATATTTGTTAAGATCTTTTACTTGAGTAAGATCACTTTTCGACTTCACCATACAAAATTCTGTAAACAAACTGACGATTTGTTTAATTGGAACTTCAAAAACTCGATGCAAAGTAAATTGTCTTCCTTAACCGATATTTTACATTGGGATTAAATCTGAATACCAATTCTTTTTATTTTTCCAAAAATCAACTATGAAGCTGAATTAAGGATAGACATTTTGTCAAATAATCAAGAAAGAAGATACTGCATGCAAAACACAGTGTAAATAGAATTCGGCCTTTTGTTAAGTGTCTGTAGCATTTTGAAGAAAAAGAACTATTATATTCGTGATCAGTGGTTTCTAACTGAACAAGATAATAGTGAACTATGATCAACATTGAATTCTCATTCTAACCATATAAAAGTTGTCTTGTCAAAGGTATTAAGGAATCGAAATCCTCTTCGTATTGAAACAGTTTTTCTACAAGCATAAAGAAACAAAGAAAATATTGTTCTTGCGAATGAATTTGGAAAAATTTTATTACAGTTTCCAGACAGTAGGGAGTAAATATTTTATTTTTTTATACTTTTCTTGTTTTTCGTTGGATCGTTTTCTTTGCAGACATGCACATGAAGCAAACGTTTTGACTTTTCGATTTTATACCGCTGCTTGGTGAACTATTTTTATATGAGCAGATGCAGAATTCGAGTATATTTGGCATTTATTGATATAGATAAAAAAAATAGACCTTCGTTTAATGAAAGATTTGATAAAAGTAGCCATCTTAGCGCCTCGGATGCTAATTCGATGCCAACGCGATCATCACCACAAATAACAGACACAATGAAAATGATACGATAAGTCTCTTTATTAAAAAAAAATACAACTCCCAAAACCATGTAGATTAGGTAACTGATACTTATATTAATTCGAAAGCTGTAGGAGAGCCAAAATTTGTGGATTTTTTTCAATTAAACACTGCTATTGAAAATTCGTTTATTTCTAATTGTTTGCATGAAAACAAGTCATGAAGAGAATAAATAACCAGAATCTTATTTAAGAGTTATAAGGAGATATTATGAAATCTTCTTTACACTTCGCAGCAAGCTGCGTCAAGTCTCTAAACTGAACAACTCCATAGAGTTAACGCTTTTAAAGCATTCAGGCAATGTTCAAAACAGGGAATTTTTATTGTACAATGGAAAGAATGACCCCAATTCCAAAGAAAAACATGAAGAACCTTCTACTTGCACGGTTTAATAAAACCATAGTATTGTTATTTTATTGTGTTTATATTTGTGTTTCTCATTACTCGAACAATACATTACCTCATTGATTTAATAGTTTATCTAAGTCGATGAGGGGAAGATGAGCAAAGAACATAAAGAAAGAAATTGCGCATGGACAAACAATGAAAGTAGTTAAGACAACTGTAAAAGTACTGAAAAAAAACGAAGAAGTATCTTGAGGGTGTGGGTGTCTTGTCCTCATTCATATCGATAACCACACACACACCCGAATCATAACACAGTTTGAAATAAAATTATATACAAAAAAATTATATAATGATTTTGGTAGCAGTTTTATATTCTATTTTTTCTTACTTATTTCCTACTGCTCTTTCTTCTCAATGGCTGTTATCTTATATCTTCTCACAGTCATAAACAACACAACGTGAAGTGGACATTAACACACAATAAGAAACTATGAGAGAATAGACACAAACATAGCTATACAGAATAGATAAAGAAATGAGGCCACGTCAAGCAAAAACATGAATTTAGTGGATGTCCATTGTTTAGCTATGTATGTATTTAAGGAGAAAAGCGGGCTTTGTACTTCCAGAATTCAGCATCTTGATAATCTACTTTTCTTCGTTTTGCGCTAAATTAAATATTCTGGTCTCCTACGACTTCTCAGCCTGTTCCACCTATCAAATTTTTCTGCTTCTCAGCGTCCATAGCTGTGTACATGAGAGTGATGTTACAACTCTCATGATTAGTTCATTTTTTATAAGTAATATCAGTAATGCCGGATAAGGATCGAATTTTCTTCCTTTTTACCTTGCAGAATTAATGCCAGTAATTCAATAACGAAAATCTATTTTACTTTTGACATTTTTCTTGATGGATATGAATATGTTTAGTACGTAATCTATCTATTATGATGATCAAGCGTTGCCATTTTCGAAAATCTTTTATCAATAAGAAAGTTTAGCGATTAATTGAATGAAATTTTGAATGCGTTCCTATCAGTCTACTCATTTTATTGTTATTTTCTGTACTCGGATAAATTTCCTAATATTATTTCAGGTATGCCCGAAGAAACCAGTGAGCTCCTAGAAACAAAGTCGATCACTACCTTCGACGACTTACCACCAGAATTGATACTTTACATCTTTGAATATCTTTCCATGACTGATCGATATAAATCTTTCTTCGATTATGATACTCGTCTCCGTCAGCTTGTTAAACGATGGACAACATACAGTCGAGAAGCACTCAACGCTGACATCAAAAAACTTTCTACCGATCATAGTTGTTACAAGCATTTATCATTCGAAAACGGTGGTACAGAATTCATTGTTGCTCCTGAGGGATCAGAAAGACGTAGATATCCCATTAATCCACAAACCATCGATACTTCCAGTTTTCATTGGTCTTTTCATATGACTAAACACCAAATACAAATTCCTGATGAACGTATTCGTAAAATCCTTTTTCGTCACACGTTTCGACTCAATCCATTTTTTTATCACCAACCTGGAATTGCATCTACGAAACAACATGATAAAAAACACCAGCGTTCTTTTTATGATGGTGATATCATTTTTTCGAAACGACATAGTAACTATTTTGAACCATGGATCCAACGTAATTATCTCGAAGTTGCTGATGAGATTTTTAAAAATCCTCAGACTATAGTCGAGAAAGCACTTATGCCCGTCGGCGAAGCTGAATGGTTGAAAGCAAATCGAATCATTCAAAAAGAGGTTGATCAAGTGTGGGAAGAACTAAGGAGTCTAGAAGATTTCAATCCATTAAAAATACAATATACTTACGAATTTCTAAATAAATGGAATTTTTGAGTAACATTGGCTTCTGTAAATCGAATCAACTACGAACGCGTGTAAGTCAATTGAAAAAAGACTGATCTGTCTCCTGAAGATAATATAGGTTCGATTTGTCATTGTCTCGTTGTACTCTTCTAGGAATAACTACATTCAAAATTCTTGAGCAAAATAATTGATAATAAATGGACTTAGATGAAAATAATTCAAGAGATATCAAGTCATTTATAACGACTTGTTTCGTTTTATATGCACACACACACACACACATCCTCACCCTATAACTATAATTTAGAAAATTTATTTACAAGAATTGCTTTAGAACAATAATCTTCGCTCATACAGTACTGAATACTTTTCTTAATATTAGTAGACATTAGTAATCAGCAAGTCGGATTATGACAGATTTCGATCATTCATTAATTTATCTATTTTGCAGAGCTTCGGTTGATAAATAGTATCAATTAGCACTCAGACACATTTTAATTCAATCAATATCAAATCTTTGAACTCGATAGTTTCCGTAGTCGATCACATAAATATTTCCGTCCTTGTCAAATGATAAACCACAAGGTATAGTCAACTGATTCGCTTGTTCTCCAATACCAATCCCACCAGCAATCACAATGCTCTCGGTAGCTTCCTTGACCCAACGAGTTACTCGATGATGTCCTTCCTCTGCCACATATAAAGTACCCAATTGATCAACAACGATTCCGTTGACGCATGCCGTTTGTATAGGATCGGATCCAAGACCTTGACCACCTGTCACAAGAATATCTGATTTTGCACTTTTAGGGCACTTCATAACAAGTTGATTATCTCTATCTCCTACATACACCGAATAGTCTCGATCGACAAAGAGAAAGCGTGGGGAATTGAGTTGATCGAGTCGACTGCCTTTTCCATTTCCTCCTGCAACCACTGTTCCTACTGACTCACCTATTTTATATCTTAGAACTTGATGATTCTCCCTGTCAGTAGCATAGATATATTCCACCAGCAACGACTTGACCAATCTTTGATCCATGTTTCCATTCAATAATACGACTATTCGCAAAATCAGCAATATAAACATTCTTATTTTTATCAACATATAAACCATGCGCGCCCCACAGTTGATTATTTGATCCACCGCGTCCATATCCTCCAGCGACAGTAACACCCGTTGGTATCCATCTGGCATGCGAATGAATAATAGCCGAACGTAATGGTGCTGAAATCAAGCAAAAACTAGAAGCCGATGCTTCGAAATCAATTTCATGAATGGAAGGATTTTTTCTGAAAGATTCGGTTAAATAAAAGGATGAAAATCTTCTAATGAAAGCATAAAGAAATCCATGCAGGTTTTAACACACGGATACCCAACAGAGCCTAGCTCAAGCTTGGCGTAAAGGTAATATAGTGCAAACAGTGAATAAAATCAGAATTCAATCGCTGTTATCATTACTCTAATTAGGTCTTGAATATCTATCTTGATGTTGAGTTAACATTGCATCATATCTTGTTCTCTATACTTGCATATGGCTGTTTCTAGCAACGATGAACTCAATCATATTGAAATTATTTTCTCACAGAATATAATGGAAAAAAGTTAACCGAACAATTTAAAAAGATTTTTATGTGTGAAATATAATGATTTCGTCATATCAGCAATGTGAATGGCACTAGGAACTGATTTACTAATGCATTTCGAACTAAATAAATGGTATTTAGCGCGTCATTCGAACTGTTTAGGTCACTGACACAATAAAGTCATACTCACTTCGACTTTCAGGAGACCAATGATTTATTCTACATCTTTTTGTCAATAAATAAGGTATGCAAATGGGTTCTTTACAGCAACTATCAATGGCGCACACTGATCTTCGTGATGAACATGATTGATGCTCGTCACAAGTATCAAAGCTGTCACATTTTGCAGCTGGTGCGCATAATTTAGTTCCGTTCACCACTGTGACTCTATAGCATTCTTCGTCGCCAGTAATACTGTTTCCACATGATGATCTTAAACAGTTATTCCAGAGTTGGGCTATTCACTCAAATGTAGAATAAGAAATAGTTTAATGCGTGCAATTATATTCAGCCTTATAATTATCCTACCTTGAGTATTACAGAAGTTAATAAACAAGAGTGTTAGAACAGTACGTATCAGAGGCATAACGTTATTGAGTGTGAAACATTAGAAAATATTGTTCGTCTTCTTGTATATGTGGTTGATACAATTTGTTTTTTTCCATGAGTTGATTCTTTAACTGAAACTACTTAAGCATAAAATCATTGGAATTTACGAATGTCATGCTTGAATATGAATATGATTAAAAAAAATAAAGTATATGCAAAACAAATTTCCATATTTTAGTTATTCGCTTGATTATGAATCTTTTTTTTTGTGTAAAGATGAATACGAGTTGCTGACGTATATCCATACATTATGCGTTCGATTTCTACTATGGTTTAGTGCTAGGGACCCTTCACGAGTTTCGCCGAATAATCAACTATTCGATAACCACAAGTATTCAACAACTTTATACTCAATTTATTAATTAGATTAAATTAATTGTGTTAATTTATAATAATCTCCGAAATATTTGGATCTATTGTAGCTTCACATTGTGTGATCGTTTTTGAAAAGTTCAACTAACGATAAATGTTAATAGACAGATACAATTTTAGTATTGAATACCGCATTGAACTCTAATTCATGCGTTAAGCTCAAATTAGAAAACATTTTCTCATCACTAAAAAATATTGTCATAAGAGCAGACCGAAAAAAAAAATAGAAACGACCCTATCATCTATATCCAAGCTATTAAAACTTTTTTTGTAAAGTAAAATTCGTCCATCTTTATTTCGAGATTATATCTATAATAGTGTTAATTTGATTCAACTGCTGACAAAAAGAAACAGTGGAAGAAATTATTAAAACAAAGCAAAATTCGTTATATTAATACAAAAATATCTTTAAAAAAATACACACATTTATATGATCAGTATCACCAGAATTATGTCTTCTTAAATACACTGAACACAAACAAAACATTATCGAGATTTTTTTAACAAAAAAAAAATAAAACGATTTTTCCATTACAATCGATCGTATATGCATAATATTAAAATATGAAATTATATATTGTATGACAGATGTATCGTAATGGACCATATACATACAAGAGTCCAACTAAAATTCCCGCTAAATGACCTAAATTCAAACAAAAAACAACATTAAAACCACTAATTTCAATAGTGAAAAAAAATTCTTACCAAGAAATGAGACATTAGGTGTAATCAATTGAATAACAACAAGTTCAACCCATACAATATATTTCGCTGATATTGGAATAAAACCTAGAAATGTATTTGAACCATACGCTGGTGTATAATGTGTTGCTATCACTTTTAATGCAAATATAACTGCACTAAACCCAACAGCACATGTAAATAAATATTCAGGATTGTCTAATAAACTAGATGCTAATTGACCAAGTAGAACAAGCATGAGACTCGACAATAATGTCAGCATTGTAAGTAAAAGTGCAAAATATTGACTACCGAATAGAGTTTCAAGTTGTTGTCCTTTGTACAAAAACGATGCCATGTTATAATACAAATGCATATCATCACCATGAAAAAATGGAGCTAATAAAATACGCATATAATCTCCTTGATCAAGTACAGTATATGTACTAACACAGACCGATTGTAAATCACTCGATAAATCAAATAATGGAAATATGTCAAAATAAATTAATACATTGAGAATAATAATCGCGAGTGTTATCGGTGGTAAATGTGATGAGCGACCTAATTCAGCAAGTAGGAGAATAATGCCATAATAAGATCGATTTGTTTGATGGTAATTTGAATGTCTTGAACGACTGCTAAACATCTAAAATAATTCTAATATATTATTTTACAGTTATAAAAACAATTTTTTCCGTGGAACAAAAAAAATGAATATTATCAAGATGTTATTATAATTATAGTACACGTTCTCAGACCCAGATGACTCACATTTTTATTAGCCGATCCGAATGGACGTCACTTATGCACTTCAACAATAGGGTTTTCTCTACAATTTCTATTCAATCATTCAAATGGAAACAAAATCTTAATTTAATTTGTAACTAAATGATACAGTTATTTTCACCCAGAGATGCCTGTAAACTTGAATTTTTGATGGAAAAAATTTCATTTGTGTCGCCCTCTTTAATTTTCACCAATGTGTTCTGATTAATTACTGACCTTGGATTCGTCCTATATTTCCTATAAAAATTTTAAAAAAAGTAGAATATTGCTAAAAAATAGCTTTTTTCCGTAAAATTTTCGTGCTTTTGAGACAAATCAATTCGATAATTTGTGATTATTTTAATTCCTTCGAATGTTTTACAGGGGCATCTATTTAAATACAATTCCTTTTCACACCTATCAAACGGACAAAATAAAAATAAATGACTATCATAATATTAACGTCCAGCGAATCTTTATAGTTCGATCGATTATTACATACCCAGACCCAGGTCGAACAGTACGGTCCGTATACAGCCGTTTACGGTTACTTTACGACTATTTTCCGGGCGAAAGTTTGCCGTAATATATGGCGCAGTAATACGGACCGTATGATCATGAGAGTACGGAGCACAAACAGCCGTAAGCCATGAAAATCCAGTCCCGTTTACGGTGCCGTATTACTGTGCCAGGTATTACGGGCAAATATGGCCTATTTACTGCCGTAAATATACCGCTTTGATATCGTTTACCGTCGATAAACAGACTGTAAACGAGTCAGTTTTGATCAACCTGGGTATGAATCTTCTATTATACTTACAAACAATACAGCATAAAATCTTGAAAGCGACAGTAGTATAATCTATCTGTCTATATATATATTAGAGACCTGCAAAGTAGTCACGGTCACGCGTGGCTGTGACCGTGACCGTGATCGACAATATTTTAGCAAAAAATGCAAAAAATGAAAATAAGAATCTTGTACATAATTTAATTGAAAAATAAAAAAATCGAAGCTTTTTATTATGTTCACATGTAGTATTAAATCTTAATTAAAAACAAGAACAAAAACAAAATCATTAATAGATTCATTAGTAATGAATCATTAGTATAAATCAAAACTTTATCATTATTCTGATGCTCACTAGTTCTCTTTTTCACTTTCATAATCATCATTTTCACAATCATCATTGTCACAATCATCCCTTGAAAACATACATTCTTCTATTTCAATAACTTTGAGTTTTTTGAAGCATATAATGATCGCTATCATCATCTTGTTCATGTATATTATCAGGTTTTCTTTTTAATTCATGTGTCGTGAAAACGTTTTTTGAATCAAACATATCCTTAAGTGGGATTAAATTTTTTTGTAGAAACATAAGCTTGCCAATTTGTACAGCTCCTAAGCATATTCTTTGATCACCAATCGTAATTTTGGTTGAAGAAAATAATCTTTTCACAGAAGAGTTGGCTGCAGGAATAGCCAGCACCTTACGAGCAATATTGGCAAATACTTGGAAAATCATCTTTTTTTCTTCTCCAAAACAAAAGTAAGTCATCATTTATAAAATCTTTACTAAAATCACTTTGCAACCACAACATGATTTCATCAAGTGCTGGTTTAGTAGTTCGTGGTTTGTCATAGCATAACGAGAGAATGTTAGTTTTTTTAGGTGTTATGGAATTATCAACACTTGGTGATGACGACGAATTACAAGACGATATATTATTACTGGGCGAATCAGCAGAAGATGAAATACTTGGTTGAAGCAATTCGATTGCCCGATCTTTCAGTGCTTGATCACCAGAAAAATCACGAAGACGAGGATGAAGTAATGTAGCTAATAAGTGTTCTGATTGGATCGGCCACTTGTCCATAATTCTCTCTTCTAAATAATGAAAATAATTGGAAAAATAAATATAACACGAAATGTATTATAACTTATGTCAGAATGAAACGATAGTCAACTTCCAAAAATATTAATGATTAAATCTTTTCGAGAAAAATCTGTAAGATTTTTATAGAATTGCCCCTTAGTTCGATTTATTCAGATATTTTTAGTTACATCGACTTTGTAAAGCTGTTCAGTTAAACTCATATTATATGATACTTCCCTGAATTATTTCAGCAAAATTCAATTTAGATTTTAATACATTTGATAAAATTTCTATTTTTCAAAGACTCAATTCGTATCGATCATTTTATTTTAAAACACTTATTTTATTTGCTTATAATATATGAAAATTGATTGATTATGAATAAATAAAAAATTTTCTATTAGTTTTACCGATTAAATATTTCACTTACTTAAAAATAGTTTTATTTTCATCATACCAGATATGTCTTCTGTTTTTGGTGTACAGTGATTAATCAAAAAACACTGAAGAGGAATAACCTTGTGAAGTGCAGGTTGAGTTTCCTCACTTAGCGTGGTGATAACTTCATCAAATGATCGAAGAAATTCATAAAGTTGGTACAATAAGTCTTTATCAAGAGATTCGAAATCATTATAATGTGAACCACTAAAAGCATCAACAAGCTCATTATATGTGATATTGAATACATTCTAGAATAAATCATAGCATAGTGGTAAAAAATTACATATTTTAGTTAAATAAAACTCATTAGCATATAATATGCGCCACTAAACCTAGTCACACTAAAAGTTTGGAGTTTTCTCGACAGTTTAATCTGTCGATGACGTTGACGAAAATTTTCAACAAGTGATCTTACAGTATCAAAAACTTGGATAACTTCAACACGAATACTTTTCGGAGATGTAAATGCATGCTCTAACGCTTTATTAATGTAATGGTCGCTACATCCAACTCTATTAACACCACGTAAAGCTGCAAGCATCTTTGGCTCGTTGTCGGTGACGATAAATGAATTTGTATTTAATGAAAGACCAAAATCGTGTAACAAATTATCTAAAAATTTTCATCAATTTCACGTACAGTAGCACCGCAATAATGAATACCTAAAGCTGATTGGAAAAACGATATAGCTTCAGAGAATCAAAGAAACGTACCGCTGTATTTTTCGGTCCACATATCAATAACCACTGCATAGCTATTAATTGTTTTAAACCATTCGGTAAGTTGTTTTTTTCGAAAACTATAAACTTGATCAACTTTACGACTAACCTACGACGATAAAAGTAGAAAGTTATATCGTTTTTGAGTTGTGAAGGTGTACTTACTGTTGTTGGATATGGTAACAAATCCGAAATTTCAATTGATTGTGAATTAGCTGTTATTTTTCCTGCCTTGAAAACTGTTTCAAGTATATATTCTTAAAACCTATTCGGGATACAATTTCAAATGGACGACCATCCAATGCAATAAATTCAAGATAAGCATTAGTTACTTCTTTTTTTATTTTTTCTGGTATAATTGATGGTGTGCTAGTAGTATAATATGTTGTTATAGTTGATTGTGTAGTATTTGATAATGTACTTTTGTCACATGATGCTAAATGTTTCTTTAAACCACCAGTACCAGTTGAACTTTTATAGGTAACAATTGTTCGACATATGTCGCATATTACGAAATCTTGATCTACATCGTTCACAAGCACGAGGCTAAATCGTGGCCAACATTATGAACCACGATCGGTTTGTTTGACCTTTTTTAATGCGATCGAAGTATCATTTTACTTGAAAAGTTGTTCGAGCTGAGTACGTGTTAATAATTTCGAAACTATGGTTTATGAAAGTACAAAAACAATCGATTCTCCACTTGATCGGAAGAATATTATTATTAATAGTAGTTTAACCTATTGATTTGCATTGCAGATCACTATAATAGAATTCAATGGATTTCCATTTTCCTAAATCAATATCATTCTGGAAAAAGTCCACAATTGCGGTAGCCATAGGGAGATGTCGTTACTCTACAAGCCTCTTTTCAATACCAAGTACTGGCACTATTTCCGAATCAGAACCCATATATTTATCATGGCTATAATCGTGACCGTGACCGTGACGTGACTGTGATTAAAAATTGTGGTCACGCAGGTCACTAATATATATATATGAACAAAGTATCTAAATACGATAGGCAATATTCACTAACTTGAATTTACAACCACAAAATATCCGAGAAAAACTTATTAGAGATTCAATCACAGATGAAATGAAGTTATTTTCAAGTCAATATTTTATCTTTCATTTTCTCTCGATATAGAATATACGACTAGTATTTAGAGTTTTATGCTCTCTATTTATTTTGCTTCGCCATTGTTGAATTATTTTTTCTCTCTTATTTTCTTCGTATAGAGTTTTTTGAAATTTTTAAAATAAAATCGTTGAAACCTAAATTAAATTATTATACACTGCCGAGAAAAATAAGTCGGCTTGAATTCCATGGAAAAACATTCAAATTATATTAAGAATTTATTACATTATTCTTGAGGGTGTGGGTATAGGTGTGGGTGTTGTACATCTATTCAGTGCCATCGAAGCCCAAGCCGACACCCACGCCCACACCGTTAGGCAAATAAAGCTTGCGAAGAAAATGTACATAGTAAGAATAACTGCATAATAAAAACGTTGATAGGGTTTATGAAAGCGTAACGTATAGCAAACTCTTTGCAGTCGTTTACTAATGGGACATCAACCCTTTCAGAAGTCCACTAAAAAGGGTTTACTACGGAGTTTATAAACGTGAAATACACATTCTGAAAGATTCATAGAACGGTTTATACGATTCATAAATCCTTAAAGGGTTTGATATACGTTAGACTTCCATAAACCCCTAAAAAGAATTCATAAAAGTACTATACCCACGATTCACGCTTAGAAACGATAAACGGAATTGTTTATATGTCTCCGGAATGGCTGACAGCGTTTATGATAAGATAGATGAAGACAATTCTTCATCTCATCAACTGCCTGAAGGGTGGACAAATCGCGTAGTGGTTGTTTCCACACCCACACCCTCAACACTATAGTTTTCAACTTTGTTTCGAACTTTTATTAATTCGTTATGGGTGCCATCTGAAGTTCCTAGTTGCTTAGTTGATATTTTGACATCATGGTAACTTTACACATCGGCATTCATAATCACACTCTCAAGCCCACCGGGCTAACTAATCAGTTGTCAAACATCTAGCATCATGAAATTATATCTATCACTTTGGGATACCTAGAAATTATTAAGACAAGCAGGCTTATGAAAAGCAGTGGATAAGTTAAGCAACGATAACTCAAAACAATCTTTGAGTTAATGAAAAGAAAAATTGATAACAAACTGAAACAAAAGCACTGGAGCATTATAGCATAGTATTAGTGAGTTATGAAAAGTGAGAATTCTGAATAGTTGATGTCATGAGTTTGTTCATAGTGAATAAATTCGTAATAAATCTGGGTAGGTAAGCGACTGAATAGGCGGCACCTCAATATTAGCAAGTAATTTGCCCAGGATATATATTGTTCGTAGTGCTCGTACAACTCAAGCAAGCTTCAACCGAGATACTATCTGGAATTGGTTGATAGGTCCCGGAAGGACAAATGCGTGCGCTACTTGCTCCAACTGAATCACAGTAATAGCCCAAAGGGCAATTCAAACAGCTAGCCTGTCCAATGGATGGACTATAGTTGCCAACACGACAATTCAAACAAGCTTGAGCCGAAATACTATCCATGGATGATTGATAGGTTCCAGAAGGACATGATAAAAAGTTACTTGATCCAATTACATCGCAATAAGAGCCCACAGGGCAACTATAGCAGCTGGTTTGTCCGACAGATGGATTGTAGGTGCCAATACTACAGTTCAAACAAGCTCTGATCGAGTAGCTCCCTGGTACTGGCTGATAGGTTCCTGAAGGACAGTATTGCATGCTGCTTGACCCGGCTGTACAATAGTAGCCAGTAGGACATGTGATGCAGCTTGACTGCGCATTATTCGGATTATAAGTACCGTTTGGACATTTCAAACAAGCTTGAACCGAGGTGCCACCGGTGATTGGTTGATAGGTTCCGGAAGGACATGCTTAAGAACTGCTTGCTCCAACAACATCGCAACAATAGCCAATAGGACACATCGAACAGCTCGTTTGTCCTGATGATGGATTGAAAGTGCCAGCAGGACATAACAAACAAACTGGCATCGATCCATTGCCGACGGAGCCGAAGTAGGTTCCTGAAGGGCATGGTACTGATACATTTGTCCCAGTTGCACAATAAATATAACTGTCACTAGGGCAGTTGTTACAGCTCGATTGTCCACTGTATGTATTGTAGGTGCCGTTTGGACAATTCAAACAGTAATGAACTGAGTCAGCACCCGTGATTGGTTGATAAGTCCCAGAAGGGCACGATTCAATGTTGCTTGCACCGATTGCATCACAATAATAGCCTGCTGGGCAACTGAAACAGCTTGACTGCCCAGTATATGGATTATAAGTGCCAACAGGACAGGTCAAACAGGCTTGAACCGTCATGGCACCCATAATTGGTTGATAAGTTCCTGTAGGGCAAGATTGTGTAGTGCTTGACCCAGCTGTACAGTAGTATCCAACAGGACAAGTGAAGCAGTTCGGCTGTCCAATGTTCGAATTGTAAGTACCATTTTGGCATGGTGCACAAGCTTGAATCGAGGTACTACCTTCAATGGGTTGATAGGTTCCGGTGGGACATGACCTTTGGTGCTTGCGCCAGCTGGACAATAGTACCCACTAGAACAAGTACGACAGCTTGGTTGTCCAATGTAAGGATTGAACGTGCCATTGAGACATTTCAAACAAGCTTGAACAGAGGCAGCACCAGTAGATGGCTGAAATGTTCCTGTAGGACAGGGTTGCATGTCGCTTGATTTTATTGGACAATAGTAGCCAATAGGACAACTCAAGCAGCTTGACTGCCCAACAGATGGATTATAAGTTCCAGCTGGACAGTTGATACAGGCAAGAGCGGAGACACTACCTGAACTTGGCTGATAAGTTCCTGAAGGGCACTGTTTTGTAGTGTTTGGCGTACGTACATCACAGTAATAGCCACTTGGACATACGTTACAGCTCGACTGTGCAGGGTATGGATTATAAGTACCGGATGGACAGTTCAAACATGCCTGAACGGAGATACCTCGTGTCATAGGTTGATAGGTTCCAGCTGGGCACGGCCTCGCAGCGGTTGCTCCGACGGTACAATAATAGCCACTTGGGCAATTAGAGCAGCTTGACTGCCCAGGGTTTGAGTTGTAGGTCCCGGCAGGGCATTGTAAACAAGCATAAGCCGACTGAGCGCCATAAATAGGCTGATAGGTTGCTGCAGGACATGGTTTCGTCGTGTTCGCTCCGATTGTATCACAATAATAGCCACTTGGACAATTGAAACAGGTAGCTGCTCCGTGGTTTGAACTATATGTCCCAATAGGACACTGTAAACAAGCTTGATTTGATGTACTACCTGTAGCTGGTTTGTAGGTTCCTGTAGGGCACGGGTTTGTATCGTTCGCTCCATCTACAGCGCAATAAAAGCCGACTGGACATATAGAGCAGCTTGCCTGTCCAGTATATGGATTATAAGTACCAGCCAAGCAGTTCAGGCAAGATTGAGACGATGCTCTACCTTGAATAGGCTGATAGGTTCCTGAAGGGCAGGTATATGTGGTGTTTGATCCATGTGGACAATAAGAACCGGTAGGACATCTGTAGCAGCTCGACTGCCAAAAAGTTGGATTGTAAGTTCCATCAGGACAGGGAACACAAGCTGTAGCCGATGAATTATTGATGAATGTTTGATAGGTTCCTGGAGAACATGCGTCTACGCTGCTTCTCATAGGCGAAAATATGAGAAAAAAAACGGTAGAAAAGAAATAGGAAAGCATCTGTGTTTTCATTTCACAATTTTATCTATAACATGAGAATAAAAGAATGCACCATTAGGCAGACTTTACAGTTGTAATAAAAATATGTATTGCGTCTATAATGAAGGAACATTTTCAACTGCCGAAGAGGTTCTTGCTTTGAAATTTTTGCATAAGGTAGAGTCCAGTGAACTGTAAAGAATCCTGAAAGAACAAGTCCACTTACGTTAGATCTTCTATCTAGAGCTATAGACGGCTCATTCTCAAAAGAGATACTTTTTTACTATAGACTGCTGCATTTTCTTAAGCATAACTACTTAATGGTTTCGTATAGCTAATGAATGAATATCATTATATTGTTTTTAAGGGAAAATTCAAACAAAACATTTTGTATTCGCAATGTGAATGTAAATAGAGTTCATGTGAATAATCAAATATTTATGATATCGACATTAATAATGATGTAAAGAAGCACGGGTGGCTGGTAGGTGTGTGTGAAAGAAAAAGCGAAGATTTTTATAGTTTTAATATTTAGTTGAAGATTAAATAATCGAAATGCTTGAAATTTGAATTTCTATTAGATTTCTGGTAAATTTCGAGTGTTCACGTTTTAGTCTTGTTTTTTATTATTGAGGTTCATCAATGTTTCTCAGATAAATTCAAATAAAACAATTTGCATTCATAATGTGAATCTGTATTTGGTTCATTAGAATATTCAAATGTTTATGATATCGGGAGTATTAATGATATAAAAGAGAAAGAGGTACATCGGAGGATTTTTTGGAAAAATGTATGAAAATATATTCATAAGATTTATCTCTCGGTTGTAATATGGTCGAGATGCTGTTTTTCTTTTAATTGATATAGAAATTTTAAAGAGGTACAGGAACTTTCAATAAATACATGATCTTTGAATAACTATAGTAAAGTTAGAAGCAACTGTACAATAATTAAATAGCTATGAAATCATTAAGTAGGTATAGGGAAGCATTAAGTGACTATTAGCTTTATTTTTTTAAGTATTTCTTTTGAGAAGCTACACTATAGGCATGTGACTGAAATTTCGACTGGTGGCACCTTGTATATACGAAAAAAACGAACTGTTATATTTCGACCTAAGGGGATTTGGTCTTTCGAGATTTTGCATAGCCCACTGGACTTTACACTATGCAAAAGGATCTAGAACTTTAAATGAATTTAGGCCGAAATGCGGAACTAAAAAGGTGGATTAAAAAAATGGTATTCAAATCTTGTAGTCAAAATCTGGGGTGGAATGAGGATTAAAGTTGAGGAATTTTCCTCAAGAATGAAGACTTTAAGATAGAAAACATACAGCGTCTGTTGCTGATGTGAAGTGGCGATTGCTCAGAAGATTCATGGAAATTCCACCGTCTAGAATCGCGACTGAGTGCGTGAAAATGTACATACACGAATATTGAAATGTTATTTTACAACAATATCGATCTTTACACATGAGTAATTTACATGAAAATAGCTAACACTATCTTCTGCTGACAATTCACTAAAAGAAAGTGGCATAGTGAGTCGCATTTTTATATAGTCCGCAGCTACTCTTTCAATTATTGTTATATTTTCAATGAAAGAGATGATTATTCGCTGAAAAAATAAGCGTAGAGTAATTATAAAAAAGAGTCATCATCAGCTTTCCAAGAATTTATTAAACTGTCGGGTTTTGGTTTGAAGAATATTAGCATCCAATTGTATGCCAACTCATAAACACAGACTCTCTAAGGGAACACGTCGAAAGAGAGAGAGAGGATTCTGTTGACACATGCTCCAACAGAAATTCCAACTTAATGGTAGAGACATGAAGGAAGTGGGTCTATTGAAATACAAACGATCAAAACATCCACACCTACTGTTTTTGTGTAGGGTGTGGATGTGGCTGTTGGTGTGGGTGTGGGGTGTGGGTGTGTTTGTGGATATGGGTGTGGATGTGGATGTGGGTGTTGGTGTGGATGTGGGTAAGACACAAAAAGTGTGGGCGTGGGTAAGACTCAAAACTAGAGGTGTCGGGTTAGCATTAAAAGTGAAAATAATACATTGATTTATTTCTCCAGGAAAATTGATTAATAATAAATCTTTAGAATTAAAAGTAATATCGGTGTTAGGAATGATAAAATAGGGAATAAATCCGCATTAAGTATTTTCTTTACCATAATACACCAATGCATTATTTTCATTGTTAATGCTAACCTGACACCTCTACTCAAAACCATACTCACACCCACTCCCACACCCTCTGATTGATTCTTTTAGTGAATCATTTCGTATCCCTAGCAATTCGTACAGTTCGCCTTCTTAGGGTTTGAAATTCTCGTCATCTCCGTTTCACGAAATTTCTATTCAGACTAAGATTTTATTTCTTTCAAACTTCTAGTGATTCTAATAGTAAAATTTCGCCATTCTAAAATTCTAGAATTCTGAAAATTCCAAAATTCCATCTATGCTAATACAACATCAATTCATATAAATTTAGTCCAGAATTCTAGAATTTTAGAAAAGGGCCGTCTCACTTCCACGATCTTTCCAAGGTTCTTGGTGCTGGTACTCGGTAGAAAAAAGTTTCGAACTGACGCTTGATAGTATTTTCAGGGGTAGTATACAAAAATAAGGTTTTCCAAATCCAGACTTATCCTGTGAAACGTTGATTCTCACACCGTTGACTACAGAATTGAATTCTGAACAAAATCGTGTAAATGTTAACTTGAACAGCTGAAATATTTTAGGTTGACTCGAATTAAAATAGAACAATCGCAATAGTTTGCCAGGATAGGCTGTTTCCGTGTTTTCACATTTTCCATCTCAAAGCTTGTTCACCGAAATATGAATTCTAAAATCCTGAGAAAGACATCAAAAGATGTAGAATATTGTAGCATATTTTATTTTTCAGCAGAGCCGCTACTTAAAAAATTCCATGGTTTTCTTCATGTCTCTGAGCACGAAGTTGGATGATTTAGTAGGTGTTGATCGTTTAAATCTTACACTGCCAATAAAAGCTTATTTGAAAAACAAAGGGGACAGTTTTCTGCAGAAATCAATTCTCTATTCAACAAACTTAAAATCAGATCTTACGACAATTATTAAATGCTTCAAAGACAGAAAACAAAAGTTGGCCATCCTTTATGGAACTCACAAGTTATATCGCGTGATTAATAGGGTGTAAAAGGATTGGCTATGATCCGTTGCACCACTGTTCGATATTTTCATTGCAATAATTAATAATAGAGTCGCTTGTTTCATAGCTAATAACTGTGCTGCTGTATGTCATAATTCTTCCCATGAGGAAAAATCTTTTATGATCTTACACCAGTTCATACTATAATAGAGTGTGTTCAAATTCAAAAGATTATAACATCGAAATTCAGAAATTTGAGCAAATTTTTTCATTTTTAGATAGAATATCAGCTGAGCTAAGTGTATTGTGACGAAAACTTTATTTTGAAATGAAAAATAAAAAAATTACAGCAATTACATTGAGGTACACAAATTTCTATTTTACAAGTACACCTGTTTACTCTATTGATTTATTACGAAACGACAATGGCCTTAATTGATCATCTGGTGGTAAACATAAATTAATTGCACGCATTCGATCGGCTAATTCAGTTAATGATTGATCAAGACGTCTTAACGATGTTGCAACATCACGTAATTTTTTCGATTGTTCACAATATGCATGAAAACGTTTTTGTTTATCATTCAGACGTTGCTGCACAGAATTGGAACGTGTGTCTACTTCTTTCATTAGACTAAGTATTTGGGTTTGCTCATTTTGTACGACTTCCGCACATAAGCGAAAATGAGTTTGTAAACGAACGGATAATTGTAAAAGCTAAAACATGAAGAATGTCTAAATTTTAAGTGTTTCTACATATTATTCTTGATCTCTCTTTCCATACATAAAACCTAAACAAAACATCCCAGTCTTCTAAGTGGCTAAAGGTATCGAAAGAAAAGCATTCTGCTTACATAAGAGAATCTCCTATTCTTCGGACTTTAATGATCTATGTATAAACACGACAGATAAATATTTATGAGACTCGTTTTTGTGCGAAAAACAAAATTGATTACTCGAACATTTCTCATATTTAATTCTTACCGGCCCATTCTCAAGATGTGGAATTTGCATTGGATCATTTTGTAAATTAATTGATGAACGAAGAATTGGTAAAAATTTTGGAATAGCTGCTAATTTATTTAAATCACTATCATCTGTAATGGATGAAATTGCTGATGTTCCACCAGCACCGCTTGCTCCAATCGGACCAGAATTAACAACAGTTATGTGTGGATGATAGACAGGTGCTACACGAGATATTAAATTTTTTTTATAGTAGACAACAATGAACTTTCTCTCTCTTAGATATGTTACTTTTTGGAGTTGCTGGTGTATTCGAACTAGTTCCTGTTGACTGTTCATTTCCCATTGTTAAAAAAGCATAAAATCTAAAATAAGTAAATTACGGTAACGTTGCCTTTTCTTGTGTTTAATTACGCTTTTAGACTGAATAAGAGTATTATTTATTCTTTTTTGTACTTTCTTCTTGTTTCGGTTTATTTCAGCTTATTAAATGTTTTAGTAACAAAAACAGATGAAAATGCGCACAACGTTTGCTGAATAGCAGTAAAGAAAAAACGAACGAGGCGACAATTTTAACAACTATAATCTGTTTAACGTTGAGTACCCTTTTTTGGGCCAGTTTTTGGTACATTCTTTTGAATTTTTTCTTGCTTCTTAACTGGTTTACCAGCCTAAACAAATTTAAATAAACAACAATAAGTTAAATCTAAAGATGAATTGATAATAATTTACTTTAACATTAGCTGCTTGTGCAACTTTTTTCTGTTGAGTTTTAACTTTCTTGGCTTGTTTAGCCGCACTACAAAGAACAAACGAAAAATCGAATCAATTGAAAAATTGATTTTTACTTGATGGCATCTTGTCGTTGAGCCTTTCGAAATTCAGGTTGTTGGTTGCGTTTAGCAAGAATTTCGTTCCATGTAACGCCGGCGATAGCACGTTGAAATTTAACATTACGACGTGTACGTGTTTTAGTTTGTTGTTCAGCAGCACCTTTTCTGTGTTTTCGTCGATAGTAAAGAGTCCATGTAACACGACGAGGATTTCGTCGCATATCTGCTGCTCGTTGACATTTACGATTCAAGTAGATATGTACCTTGAAGAGAAATAATAAAAGTGATGATAATCGAGTTAAGAATAAGCATAGAAACAAACTTTGCCATCGATTTTAACAACACGTTTACCGTGACCGGGATATATTTTAAACCCGCTATAATTGCAAACTTCAAGTCTATATAGAAAAGGATTGAATAGGAAAAAAAAGATATAAATATATATGTTAATTTTACTTCATGATGGTTCGATCACGTCGAAATAAATCTTATTAACGGAGATCTACAATTAAGACAAAAGTAAATAAATAAATATACACTGGTTACAAGAACTTGAATAGCTTGTTTATGAATAACTAAAACATATTTGGAAGCGAAATGAATATAATATGGATAGCGTATCTCATATCTTGTTTTCGAATGGTTATGATGACAAGAAATTCATTTACTTTTTTATTTTATTATTATTTAAAAAATAAAATTAGAATTTAATAATTGATTACAAAAATAAGAACATATTCAATTTTTCTTAAATAATAAAATTTGACTATCAGATTCCTGGCGCCATCTGTTCGACGATAAGTATCGGAAACAAATTAAGAATTGATTTACGTCGAGGAAAACTACGTCATGAGGAATCTCAAGTATTGGTGAAAGGTGGAGCTCCACTAGATTTAAATGCATATCCACCAAAGTCATTCCGTTGGCTGAATGATTCATCTTGACCTAATCTACTTGAATTGAGTCGATAAAAAGAATTTCATGATGTTATTGATCGAGCATGTCAAGTTCGAAAATAAAACATAGTTTTTTCTTTCCTTTCGCTCAATTTCAATTAATTATTTGTTTAGTTACAAAAGAATTAACGAATATTTAAAGATTGGTTCGATAAACAACTATCATCATCTGATTTATCCTTGTTACCCGAAACATATGAAAATGTAAATGCATTTCATCGTTTTTTATTTATTCGATGTATATTACGAGATCGAACGATCTCAGAAGCACGATATTATGTTCAAGATAGTCTCGGAATAAAATATTTAGAAATTCCTGTTCTTAGTTTAGAATTACTATGGGATGAAAGTAATTCTAAAATATCTTTACTTGGTTTATTCTCATCGAGTGCTGATTCAACATCGAATATACAGACATTAACAAAAAAGAAAAATATTGATTTATTTATTGTATCCATGGGAGAAGGACGATAAATTCTTGAACGACGTTATCTACAACAAACTATTCATTCGGGTGGATGGCTTCTATTACAGAATGCACATTTAGGTTTAGATTATCTTGAAGAATTTCATGAAGGTAAATATCAAAATCTTAAATTGAATATTAGTTATTAATCTTTTGCGTTTGTTAGAACTTATTTCAATGGATACATTTGATCCATCATTTCGTGTGTTTGTAGACAATAACGAAAATAATCATGAATTCATTCGTGCACTTTTGACTTAGTTGGTTAACAACAGAAACTCATTCTGAATTTTAAATTCAAATTCTTCAATCATCAATTAAATTTACTAATGAACCACCACAGGGCGTACGAGCTGGTCTTAATGTACTTATGGATTAATTAGTCAAGATAAGCTTGAATATATTGAATCAATCTATTGGCATCCATTATTATATTCGACTTCATTTCTTCATTGTATTCGACTATTAAAAACAAAACAAAATAAGTGATACTCTAAAATTTTCTAAAAAATGTTAATAATGTTTTCTTAAAACTAAAGTTCGGCTCCAAATAGAAAATTTGCTATTGTGAATGAACTCTAAAATAATCTATATTTTTCTTTACTTCATGAGGTTTTCTTACTGCTATGTGACAAGAAGTAACACGAATGCATCATTGATGGTCACTTGATACTGTAACAATAGATAACGTTGTACTTCGTTTATATAAAGATGATATTCGAGAAGTACCAACTGAAATAAGTAGTTAGTATAACAAAATATATGTTTTTAAATATTCTTAAAATTTTCAGGGTATCTATGTTTATGGTCTTTATTTGAAAGGCGCTGGTTGGGATCGAAAAGTTATACTCGTTTACTACTACTACTAAAATAAAGTTGCTTATGTTCAAATGCCTGTAATTCATATTTTTGCAGTCAATCCATCTCTAACTAATAAAAAAATTGGAATAATTACAAATAAAAAATTACGATTAAATCAAATATCGTTCCGAACGAAACAAGACGGTCAAACTTCAATTGCTCCCTATATTTACATGTGTCCAGTCTATAAAAAATCGATAAACACTGATCTTCATTTTATAACTAATCTTAAATTAGCATCGAATAATATTCCTGAACGTTGGATTTTACGTGGTGTTGCTTTACTTCGTGATATTAAATAAAAGTTTCTGTCTAGAATTTTTTTTTGACCTATGACAAAACACGAAACAGCTTTTAATCCTTTTCAGCTTAATATCCAAGATGATAATAACTATCAATTGATTATTGATCGTCTTAATCGTTATCATGAAATATGCTTTCCCAATGGTTTTAACAACCAAGGTCAATTAATCGAATTATTGGATAATAATCGAACAATGACAAAAGCATTTCATCGTTTCGTATTGAATATATGAAACATCGAAATAAATTTCTTCTTTTACCATTAAATCAGAAGCAATTTTATCGAATTCACCTAAAGCAAATAAAAATTCAATTGAATCCGAAATATCAAAATTGGGTGTTGGCGAGCGTGTGGATATGGGTGGTGATATATGCCTCCTTCTCACCCATACTACCACCTACGCATCAGTGACCGTTGCAAGGCGTTTTTTTTCGCCCTATCGTATACTAGGCAGTGTACGACATGGAAACCAAACCAAGCTGACATGCTAGCCTCAACGTAAGTCTAATTGAGAGTTATGGCCATCTGCTGGAGAAGTACACTTTGACACAACAGGCTGAATAAACGGAATATTTGTGACATTTATTATTTGTTCATTGAATCCTTCTACTTCTCCTGGTGAACACTAGTTTATTTCTTAGAAATCTGTCAGATATAGATTGTCTTGCGCTTGCACCACAATACACATAAATGAATGTCTGACATCAGAGTCGACTTCTTGTATCAGTATTCTGCATCCGAACCGAATGGGTGCAAAGGAAAATTGTCTTTTGAATCAGATATGACGACTACGAAGAGCATAACAGTCACTTCTCATATCACGCTACACACTATATATTCTTACGGCAAAATTTGTCGTCACCATCTTTCTTTGCAAATATGCTCGATGTTGAAAAGTCGTCGGATTGCGTACTTAGGACAACATTTTATTGCTAATAATTGATGAAAAGTGAAATGATGTGTTGTGCTATCCTTTTATTCTGAGTTCACAGTATCAAAAGAGAAAGAAGAATTTAAAAAGTGTTCATTTCATTCCATTGCGCTTTATTTCGATTGAAAATAAATGTAGACAAAATTTTACGAAGGTCAACAGCATTACTAGAGTTCAACTGTCACAGTCCATTTTCTTTCGTCAGTATTGGCATATGATATGCTTCATTTAAATAGAATTTACATCGACGTTGACAAATTCATTTGTCGTGAGTGTTCCCGATTTATTTTGTAATATGAATAAAAGAAACATTGGACTTCAAAAAACCATAAACGTCTTAATGATAGAAACGGGACATTATTGCGATGTCGGGTAATAAAACAAATTATACCCATTGAATAGATTTCATGAATTGATTTACATAATCCAATTTTGTTGCGATCGTGGCTTCACTTGGCACTGATCTGAAATGGCCAAGAATATCCTCGTTTGACCGCCCAGGACGATGTTTCCGGTCTCCGGAAATGAGCGGATTTAATTGGAACCGGCCAGAAGCATGCAGGAAACGCACCGGAACGTGCAGGAAAACGCCGGATATCACCGGACCCTGGAAGCAGTACTCCGGGACGGATTTTCCCGGTCCGGAATACTGCTTTCGTGAAATCGCGGGAACCGGCCGTTTCCCGTGCCGGTTGCGTGGACTTGGGCGAATATATCGGCAAAACTCTACAATATGTTCCATTGTATAGCTCGTCGAATCTGAAGATCGTACATAAACTGTGCAATATCTGGAAAAGATATAAAATCTTGTAAATTAATAGTCACTTTGTAATTTACATTAGTCACCTTCACGATCGATGCTTAAATATTTATTGAAGAAGTGATGAATTAGTCTTTGCATCACATAATAATGCAACGACACCTGGGCTTGTTGGATGTAAACGTCATAAGAGGTATCATCAAACGTATTGACCATGTTTTCTTGTTTGTTGTCGAATGAACTTACATCACCTACTATAAAAGATGAGCAGCTATGCACAGCTACTATGTGTTCTGAAAGCGCAACATCAAATACAATTGACATAATGTGTATTTTTTTCTCGCTACAATTTGACATTCGATAAATGTGGTTATTTTTCATTTCTGACTTTTCTTTTTTGGTATATATAGATACTCACACGATAGTTTGCAGATAATGAAAAGATTGTAAATTCATCTTTGAGACTATAACAGTGCTCACTGATCAGGTTAAGAACAAAGATTTAATTTGGGTTTGGAATAAAATCTTTCGTTATGAGGAAAATGACGTTTTTCTCGGCGCGGAAGATATTCGGTCTAAGTTTCGAGATTTCGATAGAAAACAGGTTAGAGAGGACCTTTTTGTAGCATAGAAAAAATAATCATTTTGTTCAAAGAATTGTAAACAGATGACGCACCAGTTTTTAGTCACCACGAATCCAGCAGCTAAAACAGAAATAAAGGAAAGTCTATAGCTGAAAAGCAAAAATGTGCTGCTGACTCACTGGACGGTATTTAATTCTTGCAATAGAATTGGTTGATGTCTTGTCCGTTGATATAATGTGTTGTATTGACTTCAGTGTGTGAACGATGGCATGTTTTACTACAAAATCACCACTTGTTTTGTTTCTTCAATCAATTTCATTTTTAATTCAGATCGTATTGATTTCGCACATTGTAATACATATGACTCCGCATTCATATTCGTTAAAAGTCGAGGAGATCTAATTCCTAATAGCTCAATTATTATTGAGCGTGTTTCTTCACTGAAACTTTCTTTGAGATAATCCCAGGTCGACTAATCCGACGGGAGAATTTTAAAAAATATTAAAATTCTATTTAGCGCAAAAACGCTTTTTAGAGGTTGACTATAGCAGATTTTTCTTGGCGCATCGGATCCCAGAGTAAGATAGGATCGGGTTCCGATCTTACGGATCCGAATCTTGGTACGAAGCCCGAAATCCGACGGAATCTGTTGGTTCTTGTCGTTTTTCATGTAAGATTCGATGCAACCCATTTTCAGATCCGATTGTAGGAATGAAGACATTGTTCCAGACTAGTCTGACGATCGACAATCACAAATTCAAAGCACGTGAAGAAATTCGGATGAAATGAACACACAAATGCTGTTATCATTCATTCTCAAATCACGATAAATAGGAGTCATAGCCAATGATTTTTTAAGCGCGACACATGTCGCTGGTACCGAATGTGAACGACAGAGAGTAGTTATATACTCATGTGATCCAAACCCAAGGGAAAAACAGTGGACTTTGAACTTGAAGTTACTTCCAGTTACTTCAATTTCATTTTAAGTTACCCGGAATTTCTGGATATGTTATATTTCAGCTTCGGAGCATGGTACCTAAATGGAACTTGTGGGGGGGAGGGGATCATATTGGAGCTCAATGATGAGGTTTTATGAAAAAAATTTTGTCATTGGAGTTTGCGAAAACAATTATAGTAAGCTGCATCGAATTTCATCGACAGATTTCAAATTTCATCGAAAAATAAGCATCCGTTCAGGAGTTATAACGTTTTGAAATTTGTTCAAAGGCTGCAAAAATTTTAGCAACATCTGAACACTGCTCTATGTCATTAATAACGAAAAATAAGGAATAGCACAAGCTGTTTTCGATACTATCTATACAGAAAAATAATAAATTGAAATTAAGATTTTCTGTATTATTAATATAGACAAACAAAAAATAGAAATTTTTTTTTCTATATGGTTAATATACAAAAATAAGAAATGAGACTTAGTGCAACAAGAGAAGAATATCGACTAGTTGCTGTACGATGATCGATCATTTATTTTCGTACGTCATAAATTGCCGTAAGTATTTAGATTTAATATTTTGTGGCTTAGTAAATTGACATTTTCAGAATAGGATATTATATATTCTATTTTTAGGATAGAGAATTTTCCTTGAGAGATTACTAGTTATTGTTTTTTTATTTTCAAAACTTATTAATCATATGTATCAAATATCAATACAACAATTTCTTGATCTTTTTCATTATTCAATGATAAAGCATTGCTGTTTTTCAATAAATAATAAAATGATTATATGAGTAAAGTAATTCCGAATCAGGTTGTACGAATGAATGTTTTATTTTTGGTATTTATTGATCTAGAAGAGTTATTAATATTAACATCCATTAATAATATCCACTTACTATAATAAGAATGATTCATTGTCATCTATTAATGAATTTTTGCTTTCTTCTGATAGAGATGTTCGAGTTTTTATTCTCATAAAAGATTCAAAGGAGGATATAAATCAACTTTTTCTATATCGACGATAGGATCATTCATGGTAATTAAATCATTGAATTCTTGGGTTGAAAATAAATTTTCATTTACAAGTTCCTGTCATTTTATAGCTGTTTTATAATGGCTGACCTTTTTCTTTTAATATCTGTTCCTCGCCCGAGGATAACAGTATGTTTCTATGGAAAATAATAGCTCGAAAATATTTTCATCTGGACATAAGAAAATTGAAACATACTGAATATGGATTACCAACTTGTTTATATTTTCTTGTATCATAAAATGGAAGTATGAGTCGTGAATGGCTGTTATATGTTTTTCGGCCTATTTGTGTCCAACCAAATTTGCACGGCAATTGTGATTTATCATTAACACTATTATAAGTCATTGGACCGACACGATGAATATTTTCTTTCGAATGATGTACATTTTTGATAGTCCATATTGGTGAACGAATTTTAATAAAATCATATTTAGGTAAATAAAGAGGTATCGACGTGTGCGAAGTTCGTTTGCCTAGTGGAGTAAGCAAATTACCCATTGCATCGCGTGGATAAATAAATCGAGCTGGATCAACATAATGTTTTCGATTCGATCTAATAGGTGAAATTGCATTATTTAAAGATATTTCATTATTAGAAAATAGATATTTCTCAAAACCATGAATCGGACGCACTTTCCATGCATCCACAAAATTTCTAAATTGATGATTATTAGACATTAAAATAACATATACATATTTATAAATCAACCTAGCAACAGAATTTTTAATTACTTTTGTTTGTGCTGTATTAATTACAGTTTTTACAAAGTAAATATCACTAGCAGCGAAAACAGAACCACAATCTATAATGCGCTATCAAATGTCGAATAGAGAGATAAGAACAAATGCACCACCATTTTATAGTTTACATGATGATACTTTTTATCATGGCCCCGCATGGGTAATTAAACCGAAAATATTTCAACCGAAAGAAAATCTAATAAAAACACCGGGTCCAGCCGACTATCATATACCAGATAGATCTATCTATAGTCGACCAGGTGAACAGAGAAGGAAAAGAAAATCATTTAACCAATTATCATTTCTTTAGGTAAAACAATCGGTAGTCGATACGAAACAACTTCATCGATCTCATCTAATTTATTAGCACACTACAATCCCAATGATCAATTTACATCGAATGCTAAGATGCCTGCAATCTCGATTATACCACGTCGAACAGAACATAAACAAGAATATGTATATTCCGGACGTTTATATTTTCCATCTGAATCGAAGTGCCACCGTCGAGCTCCTCTCCTTCGACCATTATATGCTCCAATAGTTTCACGGAAAACAAAACAATTGATTTCTCCCGGTCCAGCTGCTTATCCAATATATGAATTCGATCATGATGATGATGTTTTATCACGAAAAAAACCTGGTTTTACACAAAAACATCGTTTTTTATCCGATCAAAAACTGCGAACAAATCCACCTTTCTATTATCCAGCTAAAATCGATCGACATCGTTTACCCTCGTTTACCATTGGTAAACGTCTGTTTACATCGAAAAAATATAATTCATGCGCACCACCTTATTACAGTTCCTTCGGCGATAATCATTCATGTTCCAATCTTACACGACCAGGTGTAACATTAAAAGGACGTTGGAATCCATCGGTTTATAATGGTGCTAATTAAATACCGAAAACTGTGACTAAAAGCATTGAAAATTTAAAAAAAAAACGTAACTTAATGATCTTCAAAGGTTAATGAATTGTTATATTTCCATTTTCTAATCTAAATGAAACTATTATGAAATATCATGGGACCAATGATCTCTGAGAATCTCTTTGTATTATTTGAAGACTTTCTCTTTTTTTCTCTCGTGTTATTTTTCTAAGACATGTAGAACCTTAAGTATGACACGCAATGCACTCGTGTTTTCGTTCTAAACCGCCGAGAGAACGCGGCTGCATTCAAGCATAGTGGTTATTATTTATTCGCGCAACCAATAGTTAATTTTTTTCCTTCTCCGTCCTTCTCTCATAACGTAGAAAAAAATCAGCAGAAGAACGAGAAAAACAAAACAACAACCCAAACGTTTCTGATCTATTATATTTTCTACAGGAAGAAAACATGTTGGTTACAACAAAAACATTACTACGGCCATAGTGTAGACTTAATGGCGTCTTGAATGAAGTTCTGCTATGCTGTCTAGATTTTATTGGTAGAAAAACAAGAAAACAAAATGATACTTCTTAAATGTTCGCCATTATTGAACACTGCTTCTCATCGATTATTATCAACAATAAAATTACCTACACTTTATGAAACATTAAAAGTTATTGAAATTTTGCCTGATGTTTTTGTTCAGCCTGCCGAAACTCTATTCGTTTATCCTTATCGTACAAGTGTATTCGGTGGTCAAATTATTGGTTCGGCTATTTATGCTGCTCAACTAACATTAACACGAAATCATCCATTGCATAGTCTTCATTCGTATTTTCTCTCAGCAGCTGATAATTCATCGGCAATAACATACAAAGTTAAACGATTACGTGAAGGCCATTCATTTCAAGCACGCAGTGTTACAGCTCTACAAGACGATAAAATTGTGTTTGAATGTGAAATGAGTTTTCATAAGAAAGAAAAAGGAAACTTAGCACATCAACCAGTGATGCCTAATGTTGGTAAGATTTTTGTTTTCATATTCATAGAAGAAAAATAGAATTGTTGTTAATTTTCCTATTCTTGGTCTTGTTCCACCTGAAAAACTTCATTCAACAAGAGAACGTTTCCGAAGTCTTCTTGATGATCCTCGACTACCAGCTGAATTTCGACCATTCGTTGAACTAGGTCTTGATATGCCTACACGTATAGATATTAGACATTGTCATCCACGAGATTTACTTACACCGGCACCAGAATGGCCAGCACGACAACTTGTTTGGATCAAAGCTGTTGAACCTCTACCCAATGATTCGCATTTACATCGTTCAGCTGTCGCTTATTGTAGTGATCGTGTATTATTAACCTCTGCTCTCCTTCCCTATGCTGTTAACATATTTAGTCCACGCATTAAAATGCAAGTATCGCTTGACCATTCAATGTGGTTTCATGATGATTTCGGCTTTGAAACAGCATCTGAAATTGATGAAGCAACACGTGACGACGATTCAACACCAATCGAACGAACGACTGGTATTCCGCCTATTCCACCTAAAAACCCGGTTCGTGCTGACGATTGGTTACTCTATGAATTAGAATGTCCGGTTGCAATGAACAATCGAGCATTAACATTTGGACGAATATGGACGAAATGCGGACGACTAATAGTAACATGCGCACAGGAAGGTGCTATTCGCTGTTATTAATAGTAATGAAAGTCGAACAATTTCAGATGAATGTTTTATTATATTAAAATAAATTCTACGTAGTTCATTCAACAATAGTCAGTATAATTCACGAATTTGATTTTCATTTCATTTATTATCAACCGAGCTAACTAGATTAACACGAAAAGTAAAGAAAATCTTACACGACAAATTAAAATTTCTTTTTTACATTACATAGGACCTGTAAATATATGAATACGTCCACTAGAATTTCCACCGACAATTATTGGAAGTGTTCGATGACTGATGTTGGCTGTAGCTAATGAATTTAGATTTTCACTAGTTAGTGAACTTGTCTTTTGGCAATTTTCATTGTAGACACTTATCTAAATTAATAATATAAAAAATTCATGGGTTAATAAATGAATATTTTACTTCTCTTGGATATCCATTCGATCCAATGAGAAAATCAGATTCGAATAGTGCAAAAGGTTGTGCCGTAAAAGGTGTTACAAAACGATTCACATAATTTTTATGAGCAATTCGTTTTATTGGTCGAATATTTAATGGATCTTCTGCAATTTTCATATCATTATATGAAAATGATGCCAAATGATCATCTCGAGTTGCAGCCATGATATGAGTACCTGCATGATTATAATAAGCTCCATAACATGAACGATCGGTTTGCAGACAATATTTCATAGATGACATATTACGTAGATCCCAGACTTTCACACAGCTAAACAATTTCAATTGAATCCAAAATAAACAAAAATTTCAAAAATTCAATCATACTCATCACTTCCAGATAGGCAAAATTCATCGACTTTAATTGGATTAATATGAAGAGTACGAATACGTTTTTTTGATACATCAAAACGTTCTACCGTCACTGGACTAAATACAAGGAACAAAAATTTTTATAATCATAATAAAATTTATTCTATTTTGTGATGGTGCCTAGTATGCATTTCAGATGTTTTTTTTCTGAGAAATAAAAAAACAAAAAGATCTTACTTGACTCGAATATCAACTAATAATACATCGCCATTATCCGTAGAAATGAGACAAGTTTGTAATGATCGATAATCAAAAGCTGTTAATCCTTGCTCATCGGGCTCTCTAAATATCTACATAATTATATTCCAATACCTGATATTTTTTTGTCGCGAAATAAAAAATTTTCTATACTTCAATCGATTGATGTTTTGTTATATCATACGAACGAAATGTTCCATCATAGGATGTCGAATTGATATTATTCGGATTGAGATTATCAAAACGACAACATGTCGCATATGCTGTATGAAAATCGTAATTAATTTTACACCATTTGCCATGTATATCATCGATAGACTAAAAATAAATTTTCTCTAAAGTTTTATTTTTAATAAAAAGAATTTTTATTTACTTTAACAACAAGACCCACTGCACCCTTCCGATCGCAACCAATAATAGCGACTATATCTGAACGAGAATGAATATCCATAGATATGAGACGATCAGGCGTAAGTTTAAGAACATTTTCATCGGCTATTTCCAAATCAGAAAATTTAAAAGTCGATCTATTTAACAAATTTTATTTTTAGAAAAAATAAAAAGTTTTTATTTTACTTTTTTGGCGCAGGCGTTGAATTATTTTCTCCGAAAAATGTTTGAATCTTTCGATTCAGGTTTTCTTGTTCTTCTGGAGAAATTTCAATCGTTCGTTTAATAGTTTGTCGTCGATAAATTGTAACACTTTGATCCTATTCAAAATTTTACTTATAAGAAAATATAGTTGAATCATATCGATATACTTTCGTAGTGTCCATTTCATTATCACTTTCTTCGGGCGACGCAATTTTGTTACCATCAACATCCATATTCGCCAGACGAAGTGATCGTCGAACTGGAATATTTTCCGAAACTGTTATACTAAACAAATGAATGAATCGTACCGATTTTGAAAGGAGAAAAAATTCAGTGATCCGGAACGATTGCGATGAACGTAGGAAGTCAACCCCATGCCTCGAATGAACGCACATGTATGCAATTGATTTACATGTAGTTTTAGTCGTCTCAACAACTGAAAGTGTGCGGGGGACAACAAGTTCGAATTACGTACTATTTACAATCACGTTTTTTGGCATCTTTTTTCGCTGATAATTGTAGTGTATTGGCTAAAGTTTTGATGTCATCTCGAATCTAATATCGAGAGAAAAGGAAATGCTGGTTTTAACCAAAATTTAAAAAATGAATTTACTTTTGTGAGTAATAAACCGTCTAAAAATGCTTTGTTATCTTCAAGATTTTTTCGACGGATTTCTTCAACATTACGCATTGGTTCGTCGTTATTTTCCTTGTCTTCAGGTATTTCTTTCTAGAAAAAAAGAAGAAGTTAGACAAATAGTTCAAAAAAGAAAAATGATTGATATATTTACTTTGATTTTTTTTCGATGTTTTGGTACAGTTGGTTGAACATCCTCTTCGGATTCATTCTAAACACGAATTCAAACATAATAAGAAGTTTACAATCAGTGAAATTTACCTTTATTCTTAATGATCCAGACCGAAGAATAATGGGCATAGTTTATATAATTAAAAAATAAATAAAGATTCTAAAACAATAACTAAAATTAACCATATCTCATTCAATTACGTCTCATGTCAGATAAGATTCTTTCGCAGTCAATCTAAATTTTAATAAATATCTAGAATTTGTTATTCTTTTTTCAGTGTTCGTTCCTTATTATTTTATTCTTTAACAAGATAACAATCAAAGCACAATATCGGCTGAATACAAAAGCCGCCGCAATAAAGAAAACTTTCGTTCTCTGCTATTATTTGCCTAGAACTTAACCAATATTAATCCAATAGAGGTCGTCATAGCTCTTGTTTTCTTTCCATTTCTGTCTTGTATGTGTTGTACTTTGATCTGCCGCCACACTCATTCTACTAGCTTTCGATTCTCAATCATGGCTACATACAAATTAGTTTTAGGTATGTTTGCTTCTTTTTGTTTTCGTATCAATTTAATTGATAAATACTTTGTATCTTTTTTTTCATAGTTCGACACGGTGAAAGGTAAACAAAAGAAATGTCAAAAAAAGAGAAATATTTTTTTTAATCTTGTTATTGTTATTTTTTCTCTCTAGTGAATGGAACCAAAAGAATTTATTCTGCGGTTGGTACGACGCTGACCTATCAGAAAAAGGCTTTGAAGAAGCTAAAAAAGCTGGTCAAGTTCGTTTTGATTAAAATACAATCGATTATGTCTTATTTTCTCTGTTGTTTCTAGTGGCTTAAAGAAGGAGGCTATACATTTGATGTAGCTTTTACATCCGTACTAAAACGGGCTATCAAAACTCTTTATAATATTCAACAAGAATTAGATCTTCACTGGATACCTGTTCATCGTCATTGGCGTCTTAATGAACGTATGTATGGAGCTTTACAAGGAAAAAATAAATCAGAAACGGCTGCTAAATATGGTGAAGATCAAGTTAAAGTAAGTTCTTCTTTTCGTTCACTATAAATATGGCAAATGTTTTTTTTCTAAATTAGGTTTGGCGACGTGCTTATGATATTCCACCACCAGAACTTGAAACATCAAGCGAATACAATCCAAGAAATGATCCTAAATATAAGGTATATTAAATCAGCAAAAAAGGAAAAAACCTAGATTATTTTTCGTTTAGAATTTAGATCAACGTGTATTACCCTTAACTGAATGTTTGAAGGATACGGTTGATCGTGCATTACCATATTGGCATGATGCTATTGTGCCGGCTATTCGTTCCGGACAAAAGGTACTTGTTGCTGCTCATGGAAATTCACTCCGGGCTTTGATTAAATATCTTGACAAAGTCTCCGATAATGAAATCGTTCAACTTAATTTACCAACAGGTAATAGAAACAATTAAATTGTTTTTAAAGTTCGTTTTTTTCCGTTTTCAGGCATTCCTTTGGTTTATGAACTTGATGCAAATTTAAATCCAATTAAACATTATTATGTTGCACCTGATGATATCGTTCAAAAAGCTATTGATGAAGTTGCCAATCAAGGAAAAGCGAAAAAATAACTAATTTACATTTATTGAACTGTCTTGCTCACTAGTCGAAATGTTTAGTTTCATTTGAAAACCTCGCCTGTAGAATTCCTCGTATAAGACGTAGATATTTATTCAAGGTCATATTTTGATTTTAGCTATCAGATATTAGTTTTAGTGCATAGGACAAGATAAAATCATGTAGTTCGTATGTCTAAATTTTAAATAAAACAGTCTATCAAATTATATAATATAGCTGAATGTTTGCTTTGTTTTTTCTTTCAATTCGAAACGAATAAGTTTATACACCAATGAATAGTCGCAAAAAAACATGAATACTGCAAATCGAACTCAGTGAACCACAATTGAAAGTATCAGCTCAAGGTCGATTGGCTGTAATGGATGGGTTTTTTTATCGAAAAAAAAATACGAATTTTATCCGCCGACTTTGCACCTGTGTTTTTTTTCTTGTCTACTATTATTTTGAAGTGGTAATATGTACCAAATTATGGATAAATAATGGTTCACAAGTCTTTCATGTTTCGTAGATCGGAAACTATCATGAGTTGTGGTAAAAAATAGAGTGGATACTATAAATTTTCTTTTTGGCAAATTCCATCAATTTTCATGGTGAGAATATTCAAATAAAAAATCCTAAATGTAATTGTATGAAATTGGAACTTTTAGCGGTACCAAATAAAATCAAAAATTGAAATTCTCATTGTTGAATATCAGACACAGATTAGTACGGCTTTTAGCAACTGCTATCGATCATTGTGCTAGAAATACAAAATTAACGTAACCACTAAAAAAAAGAATCTGTTTGCATACATGTACAGAATTTTAATATTTGTTCTACTGAGTTTCATACCTTAAAAAGTCGGTGCTAGAGTTCATAGACAAATGTTTTATTGAAAAACGCAATAAAATGATCCTATGGGTGAATATTCTTTTTTTGACCTTTTCGCACTTTAAAATTTCAAGAACGATTTATCTCTAGACAAGTTCGTTTCGTCATAGCTTTTCTTTCTGTTGTTCTGATAAGTGATTATATTTTGGGTACCATGCCGCCTGTCTATCAGAATACAAAGCCGTTAGTGTGGGCTTATTTGTTGTGTATCAATAACTGCGAGAAGATATTCGTTAGAAAAGTTATTTCTAAGAGTGTACCAAAATATGATTGTAGCGCGTTTTAAGTTATCATAATAATTCGAGACAAACTTTTTTTTATAATGTTTAAAAATGTTATAATAAAAAATCCCAAAGAAAATCCTCGAAATTCTTCAGTATTACAGTTTATCAAATCAGAAAAACTGTTTTCTCCAACTGATAAAATACCACCACAAATCAAAACCTCTTTCAATTCAAATGTTTTTATTGGCGATACAACAAATGTATCGTTATTTAATTTACTAAACGAAGAATCATTGATTAATTCATTTGAATGTGACAATGATGCAACATTGGGGGCCGGTGAATATTCATTTCTTATCTTCGGCGGACAATATTTAACTCTCTATAACATCGATGGTCAACTGCAAAAGATTCCATGGAATACAAATCTATACGATTCAATAAAACAAATTCGTTGGTCACCCTATTATCATTCATACTTAATAATGACATCTCGATTATTTTCCCTATTGAATTTGTTCTCCTTTGAATTAGCATCAATTAAAAAGTCCTTTCCATCTAATGAACAATTGCAATTATTTTCTTGTCATCAAACTGATCTCTGGCTTGTATGTCTATTAAACCTAAGCAAACAACAAAGATTTTTTCATTACAACCTTACAGAATGGGAACGAACTCATTCGATACGAAAAAATTATTCTCTCGATCAATTAGGTTTACATAGAACGGATACAATCTGTGCAATTGAAAATGATCAAAAGGGTGAATGTTTAGGTTTACTAATTGCAGAGAGAAATCAAAATTTAACTGTTGGCATTCAACGACGACGCCGACTCATTCTAATTGCTATTTCTCATATGTTACCATTGAGAATTATTTATTTTAGTGGTGCTGATGATCTCTATTGGACATTGACATCGGTCATGAATCGAAAGATTTCAACGACCGGATGGTTACTTAGTAAATATTTTAATAAAGAATTGACTTTTATCGATAATAAATGCAATAATAAATTAACGTGTATTGAATATAAAAATGAACTGCGCAATTTAGCAATTACGACCAATGGACACTATTTAATATTAAGAACAATTAATAGTTTAGATATTTATCAGATAGATTAGATCGAAAGAATAACAGAGGTATTTATTTTAATGTTTTAAATTAATATGAAAGTACAATACAAACAAAAGGAAGAAATTACGAATGAAGAGATTTAGTGAGCGAAGAAAAATTTACTTAGATTTTTCGGTTAGACAATATCTGACGAAGTATAAAATCGATTTATGTTGCAATAGATCATTGATGTGTTGGCTAATTTTTTATGATTAGTTCAAATTGCGTTAACGCTCGGTATCCTAGTTTATTGTAATTAATATTTTCAGCATATATTCGACATATGACTTTAATAGGTACATTTGGTTTAACATCATTAAATTGAACCCATATGTATGGTGCTTGATATACATCTTGACGATCGATTTTGCCCCTAAAATAAAATACACATGTCTTATCCTTATTTTGTTCTGTATACGAAATTAATATCTAGATGAGTAATAGTTTACGAAAGCGATTAGAAGCATTTTTCTACATAGCCAATGTCTTTTAATAAACCCGATCCCTTGAGTAATTTTACGGATGACAATTTTGTATGCAGAATTGATTATTGAAAATTTCTCGATAGTCAATATTCGAAAGCTGCCACATTTGTAAGATAGATAATGGATGGATTTAGGGAACACCTCGTTGGCTCCAGTTTCTATTTTTCAGTATCTACTTGAAACGGTGAATCCTATTGCTTCAGCATGTGTGTAAAGTGCAATTAAACGAGGAACGTTGTATGAAAATATACATAGAGAAAGGTGCAAAAGTATGAGTTTATGGAAGCTTTGGTTTTACGACGAAGTGAGAATATTTGTACTTCTTCATCTCAACACTGACATCGAGTTATCACACATATAAAATTGCTTCCATTGAATAGAACAAAACAAAAAAGGCATTCTTACTGGTAAGGAAACCATTTGGTGTCAAGTGAACCACAGTTTTTATCGTGACCATTCTCTGATATATATGTTATATTTTGAATATTAGCCGTATCAGCTGCAGACTAAAAAGAAGACAAGACATAGATCTTCTTGCTTGACACAATAGAAATAGTAAATTACTTCTCCGGTACAATGAATAGAAATAGCGTTGGGATTTGGTCGACATCCAGCATTTTGATATGCTTCCTCGTCTTCTGGCATATAACCTGGTTTTGGTTCAAAGCCAATTATCTATATATAATTAAATAGGACATTGTTTAGTTTTTTTGTTATTCCAATTTATATTTTTACTTTATTTATTTTAACAAGTATGCATGGTTTTCCGCTAGCAAATCCATATTGATTTTGAGGTGTACAGTCACCTGGATCGGATATTGTAAATTTCTTTGTTTGATTGAATCTATCAATATCATATTTCCAATAATCTAATAGAAAAATGTAATAATTCTCATTGAATAACTAAAAATTTACTTACAAACTAGTAGATATTGATGAAGACTTTTAACATAACGATCGATTTGATTTTTTTCAACTGAAATAGTATTGTCGACGGCATCTATTTGTGGTCGAAAACCTAAGCCTACAATAGATTGAAAATAATTTATTTCAAATTTAATTCGCTTCCATTATGCACAAACCAGGTGCAAGAGGTTTCCCACGAGCTTGCATACATGACGCGTCTCCGTGATATCGTGGACGGTCTAGTGGTACTAATCGCATAAATACAAATACCAAGGTGGAAAAGAATCCAGCCAAGCCAAAATAGAAAAAGAAGTAAAAAATGGCTAATTTTCCTATTAGAGAAAAAGAAACAATGTGTACATATACAGATTAGTATTGTTTCTTCGATTTTAATTTACCCCATCGAGTTGAATCTCTACCAAGAAATTCCTTTCGTTTAGAATCATATACTGCATCTGCGATCATTGATAGCAGTCTATTCATAATGACGCGCTGTGCTATAATACTAATCTAGAAAGAAAAGAAAGGTGCTGCTTTGTCTTACACGACATCCCACAGTATTAAATAGATATGCCGACGGTTGGACGCATTCAAAGCCTTACAAAATAGTTCATACTGATACTATTGAAGAGTAAAGGGAATATTCTAAATCATCTTTATGGATTATATTTTTACTGTAGTGACACCAGAGAGGTTTTTCATAAAATTTCTGTTGAAAATCTTCTGAAAACATATTACTAATTCCTCCGCTAATCAATGGCAACGCTTGTTTTACAATCGGAAGTTGTTTCTACACTCGAACTCAATTTCAGCAATGAAATCCGAACAAAACTTTGTAAACACTTTTCTTCTAATGTATATTGGATCGATCAATGCATTTGGCGCAAAAGACACTATCTCAATTGCGTGTGACCGAGATTCTATCTTTACAAACCTAATGTTGTTCAATCTCACTAGTCAATCGATATGAAATAAGAAGAATTATCTCATTATGTTCTTTATATCAATTGAAATCGGTGCTCTCTTTTATTTCTGATTGGTCCAATGAAAATCGTATTAATTAGCGACCTCATTGATATATTCGGTTTTAATAATTTAAAACAGATTATAAATTATAAATTTGAATAATTTATGTTATACAATGACTTCTATGTCTGCGGAAAAATCAATTTCATAATAAATCATTTTTCATTGGATCAGTTATGCAATTACATTTAGTTTTAAAAAAGTTCTGAAAATTTCACATTTCATTTTTTCCTTACTGACTGTCTGTTGAGAAGAGCGATAAGATCATGTCTCGTCTACATAAAATGTCAATTCAAGGCATTCGAAGCTTTGGAAATCGAGATCAAGATACACAAGTCATAACATTCTTCTCTCCATTGACGGTTATTGTCGGTCCAAATGGATCGGGTAAAACGACCATAATTGAATGTTTAAAATACATGTCAACTGGTATAATGCCACCGGGTGCTAAAACAGGTGGAGCATTTGTTCATGATCCAAAAGTAGCACATGATACAGAAGTACGTGGTCAAATTCGACTTCTATTTCAAGATGTTACAGGGCATAATGTTCAAGTGCAACGCACACTTGTTGCTACACAAAAAGTAAACGATCGCACAAAAAGAAACATAATCGATTTTTAAACTAAAATAAATTATCTTCTTTCGTAGAAAAGCAGTATTAGTTTACGAACGCTTGAAGGTATTATTATTCGTGAGGGTGTTAATGGTGAACCAATACAAATAACATCGAAGTGCATTGAACTCGACCGAGAAATGGTTACAGCATTCGGTGTATCGACCGCTATTCTTGAAAACGTTATCTTTTGTCATCAAGAAGAATCGAATTGGTTAGTCGTTAGGAAGAGTTTTACACGATTTTAATTCTTTGCGATTTAAGGCCATTAAGCGAAGGAAAACAATTGAAAACAAAATTCGATGATATATTTGCAGCAACGAAATATATGAAAGCACTTGAATTAATTCGAAAAATTCGAACTGAAAAAGTTTATTGTTTTTATGAGATTTATGTTGAAAGAAAGAATGAAGTATTTTGTTTTAGTTACAAACAGTGAAAATCAGCCGAGCCGAAATCGGACATTTGAAAACCTATCGTGATATGTTAGTTCAAGTAATTATGTCAAAGTTTTGCTTTTTGTAGTAATAGCAAAACAAAAAACTGTTTATTTAATTTTTATAGAAAAAAAGACAATATTCAGATATTGATGATCGTCGGCAAGCATCAAAAAATAATGTCGACAGTATTCAAATTAAACTTGAACCTATTGATGTGAGTTTTACTGGAAGAATGAGAGAAATTATTAGCGGAACTTTATCTGCCAGGAAAAAAAGATTTGGTCAAGTCTAGTTTGTATTAAAAAAGTTTCAGAATCTTTTTCTAGTTGGGATACATCATCAGCATGATATCTGAAGGACCGAAAAACAGCGATGGTGTTTAAATATTATCAGGAACGGAAAAATAATTTTAATCAGTATCATATTTATAGAGTACAAAATCTTTTCTTAAGATAGTTCTCACTATAACTGATTGGCAGACTGTTTCTTTAGTTGAATTTTTATATTTTTTAAAGTCTCGCTTGGAACTTATTGCCAAAGAAAGTTCAAAAATGGTTGATTTTCAACGACGTATGGGTATGTTTTCTCAAATAACACAATCTCGTGTCTACTAAGCACAATTGTTATTTACTAGATCGTCTCGCGAATGAATGTGAAGCATTAAAAAAGAAGATTCGTGATCTCAATGCAATTATTGAAGAACCATTTGAAGGTTCCGAAGATGAACTTAAATTATTAATAACCAATTTTCAACGTGATCAAGATAAAAAGAAACGTGAAATTCAAGATGTAAGTAATACTGTTCCCCATAACACAGATTCGATCACAGTCACAAACATGACATCAGCAGAACAGAGTAGTTACTTACAAAATTCAGCAGTGGAGCTGGTCTCCCAGGAATAAATCTTCATAATGCTATTGTGAATGCTAGTTTTAAGATATTCATATCAATCGTTACAATCTTGTTGTTTACTATTTACAGTTAGATGCGAAAAAATTGACAATGGAACGGCAAATAAAAAAACTAAGCGAAAAACGTACATCCGACACGAGTCGTTTAGGTGGTTATGAATTTGAAGAAAAACAATATAAATCAAATTTAAGTCGTCGCCAACAATTCATCGATGAATACGTTCAAAGTTCATCGCAAACAATTGATAAAGCAAATCTAAATAGTCATTTAGATAAACAAATTCAAAGTGGACAAAAAGACCTAATGGAAAAACGTTTATTTTATCAACAAAAGGAAAAAACTATCCAACAAGATGTAGATAAATGTCAAGAACAACGTATTAAAATCGAGTCAACAATTAAATTAAAAAGTTCACAAGTTGAAAAAACTCTCAAAGAAATTCAAGATATAAAACAACAACAGAAACAAATTGAACAATATTTAAACAAACTAAATGAACTTAATAAACGGATTGAACGTAAAGACGATGAATATCAACAGAAATTATCAAACGGAATCAATATCGACCAATTAAAAGTTGATATTAGTAGTGACGAACAAAAGCGTACTCAACTTCAATTTGAACTTAAAGATTTAAACAACGAAATTGATAATTTACATGCCAATGCAAAAATTAATACTGAATATGAAATGTTCAAAAAGGAAAAAACTGAACGTGATGAACAAATTAGAAAAATGTAATTATTTTTAGTGCTTTAATTTTGAAATTCGAACAAATGTCCTAGGATGATATGAGAGGCCGTTAAAAAACACGATTTTATTAGTACTAGAACCTCTGTGGGATAGCGTATGGGTATAGCCTAAGTAGTCAAAATGAATTTTTCTTTTCCAATTTGATATAGAATTTGAAGATCTGAAATAAACTTCGACTCATGTCTAATTGTATTTTTTTTTTAGTAAAGTTCGTCATCATGAAATTCTAACAACCCTCTTTCAAGGTTCAATACCAGAACAAGATTCGAATATTTGTGTTCAATTTGAACGAGAACATCGTAAACTACAACAAAGTCGTATTACATTGGAACGACAAATTCAAGACATACGTCGAGAGTTATCTGGCAAAGAAGAAAAACGTCGTCTATTAGCTGATGAATTAAAACGAAAAGATTCATTGCGAACTGAATATACTGATCGTTTGCAAGAACAACTCACTGGACAAAACTATGAAAAATATTTAGAAAAGCTATCCAACGATGTTAAACAAAAACAAGATGAAAAGGGCAGTCTTGTTGGCATGGAAAGAACTTATCAAAGATTTATTAATCAAGTTCGATCAACATTAAAAGCAGATCCGTTAGTTCAATAAAAATTTTCCTAGTAACTTGTTTTTTTGTTTCTTCTGTCATCGTAGATGTTGTCCGTTGTGCTATCGAAAATTTGAAAAGCAATCCGAAGGTGAACAATTAATGCGTGACATGGAATTACAAATCAAAGGACCTGAATATCGAAGTAAAATTGATCGTGATTTAGCATTGTTGCAAGAAAAATTCGAAAACTGTCTGAATCTTAAATCGGTTAACAGTCAACTACAAGATCTTGAAGAAAGAGATATTCCAACATTGAAAAATCAAATGAAACAGCTCGACAAAGAAATTGTGGAACTAAAAAATAAACAGACCGATCTCGAAAAAGAATTAAATGATCAAATAACTTCACCATTAGAACAATGTGAACAAGTCAAAACAGATATTATTATGCTTAATAAATATGTTGTCGAACGAAAAGATTTCGAAACAAAAATTACTATTTGTCAACAAAAACTCGGTAATAACTTTAGGATTTAAATGAACCAAAGTAAAAGAACTTGATATTATGTCGGACGCTCGACTCTTTTCTCAGTACGCCATAAGCGCCAGTCCGTGAAAGCTTTTCTTAATCTCCCATCTAACACCTGGATAGGTCCTCTCGTTAGTAATCGATCAAAGAACAAAATATGTTTCTAGGTAAAGGACAAAAATCGACGCCGCGCTCACTCGATGAAGTAAAACAAGTGAAAAATGATGCACAAAATCAATTCGATCAACTTGACAAAGAATTACAACGTAAACATAAAGAACTTCGTTCACAACAAGATATAATACAAGAGCTACGCGAATCATTAACTGAACTTAAAAATGAAAAATTAAAATTAAGTTCTGATATACAAAAGAAAGAACGACTTGATGAACAGCTACAAAAATTAACCAATACTATTCAAACACTTAAAGAGGAAATCGAAACAGACAAAATAGCATTAGAACCAATTAATGTAAGATTTTAATTAAAGATAAATTTATTATCATTAGAATAAAATATTATGTTTAGATTGATATTCAAACGAAAACAAAAGAAAAAACTCGGCTACTGACAGAGAAAGAAAAGACCTTATCGGCACTTACTGAATCGGTTTGTATTTTTTAAAATAATTTTTATCACTATTTCAAAATTTATTTTGATTCATAGGCCAATGTTCTGGAGCAAAAATTTAATGAACTAAAAATATTAACAACAACAATTAATAAGTATGTGTTAACAAAGAGAAAACGATATTTCAATTTGAATGTTAAGTTTACTAATCAGAGTCGTAGTCGATGCCAGTTCGGAGTTCTGCATAGCTAATATATAGTCTAGACCTGTAATTCTCCATCCGTTCATGTTAGGAAAATGAAGAGAGACCAGTAAAAAGAATATCTTCATAATAAATCTATTCAACACAATTCATATTTTTAACGTTTAGCTTCGAAGATCGTACATCGAAATTATTAGACGAACTTCGTTCGTCATTCGATCAAATCAATATTCAAGAAATACAATTACAATCACAACTATCATCATGTATAGCAACGATTGCTCAATATAAAGATGATCTAGCTCGATCAGATAATCGCTATCGACAACTAAACGATAATCGACAGTTACTTTCAAGTGAAATAGAACTTAAACAGAAACAAAAAGATCTTACTGAACTTGAAGAAAAAACTCATGGGCTTAAGTAAATTAATTTTTCTTGTTTTAGAAAATGTTTATTTCCTTTTTGTTTTGTCTACATACAATAGATTAGATTCGCTAATACGAGAAGAAAAGCAATTACGTTCAACGCAAGATACACTATTTAAAGAGAAACATACAGCATCAGCACGACTTGCAACATTAGAACAACAATTAATTGAATTAGGACAAGAACTTGAACAGGAACATTTAAAAAATGCAAATGAACGTTATCTTAAACATTTCGTTCAACAAACAATCGAAGAAATAGCATCGCAAGATCTCGAACGTTTCTATAAAGTTTTAGATCAAACAATGATGACATATCATACTCAAAAAATGAAACAATTAAATAAAATTATCCGTGATCTTTGGCGAACAACGTATCGCGGTTCTGATATTGATGCGATTGAAATCCGTTCGGATGCTGATGAAGAAAACGCATCGAAAGCTCGTCGAACATATAACTATCGTGTTGTTATGCTTAAAGCTGGCTCAGTTATGGACATGCGAAATCGTTGTAGTGCTGGTCAAAAAGTTCTTGCTTCACTTATTATTCGACTTGCGTTAGCTGAAGCATTTTGTCTCAATTGTGGCATTCTGGCGCTAGATGAACCAACGACTAATCTCGATTTTGAAAACATCGATGGATTAGCGCAAGCATTGATTGAGTAAGTGTCTATCTTATCTTTGTATCTATCGAGTTTTCCGGCTTCGGGCGCACAATGATGTGTTCTCTAATCGAGATTTTAGTCATGCTCCACTGGATATAGTTTTAGAAATCTCGAACTTATTTCCATAGAATAGTTTTTTATGCGAATAAACAAGAAAATTCCATTGGGGTTTATTTTTTCAAATAAAATTGTTCATTTTTTAGACTTGTCAAAAACCGCGCAAGTCTAAAAAACTTCCAATTGGTTATTATAACACACGATGAAGATTTTGTGGATTCACTTGGTAAATCTGCATATGCAGAAAAATGTTATCGTGTATCAAAAAATAATAAGTATGTTTTAATTATATGTTAAATATGTTGATGATGTTTTTTTGTTTTTAGTGGCCTATCGAGAATCGACGTTTGCAATATTGCTTCATTTGGTGCACATTGATCGCATAAATGTACATTTTAAAAATCTAGTCAGATTTATTCGTGTGATGATGTTATTTTTATAAGAAGGCGATAAACCAATCATGAAATGTTTTCTCTCGTTTTTTTTTTAAATATCCAGTGTGGTGTACTTTTATGAAATAGATAAGACAAACTAATAAAAATATTCTTTTATTTGATTGCGTTTCGTGATTCATAAAAAAGTGTGCATTGTGACCGTTAATGAATAGGTAAGTGAATTATTTTAACAAAATTAAGAGTAAATTGACGATATATTAAACATAATCATTGTCAAAACTGTTCTCTACCGCCCCCTATAGACGATATGACTACGTCGAAATTCACATTTGATAAACTATTTTTTATTTAATGTTTTATACTTGAAAATAAATTTATGATTATTATATTTTCGGTGGACTTTTATTGAAAACTGATTGGAAAGAATGACATACTTATCATTTTTTGAAAACTATTCACTCCCGGTATGATGACAGCACGCGTGTCTCCACGTGTATGCTTATGCGTTGATGTTAAATGTTGCATAAAATAAAAGTGACTGATGAATTCACGCTATTACTACGATTTTATTTTTCATCTAGATTTTTCATGCATAAAATAAATATGACTGGAGAGTCATCAACTACTAAGTCACTTCTCGATCATCCGTGGATTAGAACTAAGGAAGAAGTCGCTAAATATTATGATGTTCAAGAAGACATAGGTCTTTCTGAAGCACGTATAAGACAAGATTTTGAAAAATATGGCCCTAATGGTAATTTACAACTATTTATGACACATTCGATTCGTTTTTATTTCGTTCTAGAATTGCCTGCCGAAGAGGGCAAACCACTTTGGAAACTTATCTTAGAACAATTCAATGATCTTCTAGTCAAAATTTTACTTGCTGCTGCTTGTATATCATTCGTAAGTTTAATTTTACTCCAGACTATGATTCCAATTGTTCTATTTCTTTGGTAATAGGTCTTAGCTTTATTCGAAGAACATAAAGAAGACCATAGTCTTGTAGCAGCTTTTGTTGAGCCACTTGTTATTCTTCTTATTCTTATTGCAAATGCAACTGTCGGTGTATGGCAGGTCAGTATGATTTAGTTCACTACTGTTTTATTCTAGAAATTTTCTCGAATAAATTAGGAACGTAATGCAGAAAGTGCTATTGAAGCACTGAAAGCGTATGAACCAGAAATAGCTAAAGTTATTCGGCAGAATCGACCGGGGCATGTTCAAAAGATTAAAGCTCGTGAACTTGTGCCTGGAGATATTGTTGAAGTAGCTGTTGGAGATAAAGTTCCAGCTGATATTCGTATAACAACTATCTATTCGGCAACAATTCGTGTTGATCAATCTTTATTAACTGGTGAATGTGTTTCTGTTATTAAACGCACAGATCCAGTATCTGATGCACGTGCTGTCAATCAAGATAAAAAGAATATTCTTTTTTCTGTAAGAAAAATAAACTTGAAACTGTACGGAGGCGTTGACGTTTGAAATAATTTCTAGGGAACAAATATTGCAAGTGGTAAATGTCGGGGTATTGTTATTGGAACAGGTTTAAACAGTGAAATTGGTATGAATACATTTTTATATGTGATATAGAGAAACTCTAATTTCGACTGAGAAATAGGCACATGAGTCTATTTCAATGTTCTAGACTGGTTTTACATAAGCCACTTTTGTTGACTTTTCTAGAAGTATGTACTTTAACTATATCTGAATTGTGAGCAGAATACTGTTGAGAGTGATTTGAGACAAAGAAAAAGATTGAAATCTACAGACAATATGAAACGCTGCTTTTCTATAAACTAATACTATGCAAAATGATGCATGCCAATATATGTATTTAGGAAAAATTCAAACCGTGATGACCGAAACTGAAGAAGAAAAAACACCATTACAACAAAAACTAGATGAATTCAGCGAGCAATTGTCAAAAGTAAATTTTGATACTTATCATTTAATGATAATAATTCTTTTATTTTAAAGGTCATCTCAGTGATTTGTGTAGCTGTATGGCTCATTAATATCGGCCATTTCAATGATCCCGTACATGGTGGTTCGTGGCTTCGTGGTGCTATCTACTATTTTAAGATTGCCGTCGCCCTTGGTAAGTTTATTTCGTTTTATTTTTATTTCAGAAAAAAAAGTTTATTAACCATATCTACTTGTGTTTTTCTTGTAGCTGTTGCTGCCATTCCTGAGGGTTTGCCAGCTGTTATAACAACTTGCCTTGCATTGGGAACACGTCGAATGGCGAAAAAGAATGCTATTGTACGTTCATTGCCATCGGTCGAAACA